GCATTATGCATAAGATTGGTTTGAGTTTGAGTATAAAGAGTGGATTCCATTGCTTACCTGAATTTGCAGAGGACTGCATTCTCATAACTGGGAAGTAGTGTTCCAATAATAGCAGCAACAGCCGAAACTGGTTTAGCTCAGTGGATAGAGCGTCTGCCTGCGGACTGAAGGGTCCCAGGTTCGATTCCGGTCAAGGGCATGTACCTTGGTTGTGGGCATGTCCCCGGTGTGTGTGTGTGTGTGTGTGTGTGTGTGTGTAAGAGGCAGCTGATTGATGTCTCTCTCTGTCCCTCTCTCTTCCACTCTGTAAAAAATAAATAAAATACATTTAAAAAAAATAATAGCAGTGACAGGCAGAGGAGGAATTTAAAATTACTGGAGAAGCCACTCTTACCTTTTTATAGCTTACTCTATAAAAGGAACAAATCTAACCATTTCATTTTTTTAAAAGAAGGGAGAAAAGGTAAAATGTTTTTAGCTTTTCCAATGTCAGGCATTGTTCTGATCACTTTACCTGTATCAAACTCAATATTCACCTTTGAGGAAGATATTATCATAGCCACAGGAAAGCCCAGAGTGTTGAGGCCACACAGAGATTGAGGCCACAACCCCAACACAGATCCAGGATTCAAATCCAGGCAGCCAGGAGAAGCTCCTAATGCACGCCACAGGAGTAATTAATTAGATAGTCCCATTGTGTGAATCTTTCATTGTTTCTCCCAGAATTAAGGTATGTAAGTTGTTTAACTTGTGAAGCTTTTAAGTGTTGCCTCCTCTTGGTGTAACCATGAGCCGGGACCACTCTTAGTTTCTCTCCAAGTGCTTTCACTTGGTCCTTCAATAGTCAGAAGGCTGCCAGCAATGGGCCCATTTTGAAGTGCTGTGTTCCTTCTACTCGATAAACTCTCTATGTTCCAGTTTGGCTCATTTTTACTGATCCTTAAACTCACTTTGTTCAATGGAACCTCTCCTGAGAGTATAGTCCTTTCAGCCCCAAATAAACTTGGGACCCTTTATCTGGGCTTCCCCATCATTGAGTCCTTTTGTCACAGCATTCATCATAGTGGTATGGGTATTGCTGAAAGATAAAACAGACCGGGATGCCAGGACACAGGCTTTATTGAAGAGAAGAGTACTACTGCCGGCTGCTTCCAGAGAGAGAGCGCGGAAGAGAGCGAGAGCCGGGATACAAGCACCTTTAAGGAGAGAAAAGAGAGGGGACGGGGCTTAGGGCACTCAGCACATGCTGATTGGTGGTTTCATGTAAGGCCTATGATTAGGGACCTAGGGACTTAGGAATGGGGCCTTAGGGTATTTGGCAGGTGCTGATTGGTAGGTCAGTGCTCAGGCATGTCTGGCTGCAGGTGGAGTTTATGTCTGTCCATCAATTGGAGGAAGGGAGATCTATCAATTGCTGACTCAGTTGTCTCTCTTCCTACACTAGAATGTTAGCTCTGTGAGGAAAGGGACTAGGTAATACACCTAACCCTTCACCCCAGCAGCCAGCACGGTGGAGGCATATAGGAGATGCCTATTATGGAATTTGTTTTTTTTTGTAAATCTGATACTAAATCTGTAGTAGGTTTCTTTTAAATTGTTTTTAAGCCAACAGCTAAGTTTTTAGGGTGTGAGAAATTTGTTTTCTTCTCTTGTTTTCTTCATTGACTTCATGAAGTTCAGTGATTCTGTCTAAGGGCGTGCGGGGGAGAGCACGTTCAAAATACTATTCACCAACTAAGGTCTCCCCCACGCCTGTTAGAGCAGTGGGGTCTCTGTTCCACTAGACTTCCATGCCTCGTCTGTGATCTGGCCACGAAGATCTTCCTGTAGCCTACCTCAAAGGATGTGAGCTCCATGAAGCATGGAAGAGAACATTCATTTATGCAGGTGCCTAAAAACAGGCTTAGAAGCCAAAAGGAGCCTTAGGCTATGTACTTTATTTATTTTTTCCCAGGCTCTCAGCATATTAAAAAAGGTACTGGATTAAGAAAAAATTTAATTCCCAGTACAGGGAATGTGACCCAAATAATGTGACAAAGAAGCTGAAATCTCTATGATGAATGTGCCTTCTTTCAATTCGGCCAGGGACTGTACAGTTGTTCCTACATCTAACCTAATTTGGAGATGCTTATGTCAAAAACCTGAATTCGAGGCCCCGGCCAAAGGCTTCCTCAACTCAAATCGCCCTGGCCCTGCCTCAAACAAAGAAGCCACCTCCGATGTCTGGTGAATGAACAGAGTAATTCGGAAATGGCAAACTGCAGAACGTTCGGGAGAGTTTACCGCGGGGGTAACAACCCCAAATTCTCTAGGCTGCCCACAGCGGCTCCGCACCCGGAACCCCACTTCGCATGTGGGCCCGTCACCCACCCCTCCGCCCTTCCCTCTCCCCTCTCCCCCCTCCCGCGCCGGGGCCGCGGCGCCCGCGCCTGGGTCCCCCGGAAGCGCGGCGCCCCCCACCGGAAGTGACGCGCCCCACTGTCTAGCAACCGTTGCCAAGGAGCTTGTCTCTAGGAACCCACTACAGCCCGGGAACCACCTGGGGGTGGGGGACAGTGGTTTCCTGAAGAGAATTTGAGGTAACCTCGCCCACCCGCGGTCGGAAACTTCCCCGAACCCCGAGATAGGAGAAAAGTGCTTCCCACCCCTTCCCAGAGCGGCAGACGGAGGGGTCGCAGCCGTGCCCGGGGTCCGAGGCCGTTCCCCGGCGGAATGAACGTCGGGAAGCCCCGAGGTGGCCGGTGTGACGTGGGGTCCGGTCCCCTGTCCCCCCCCGGGGTCGGGGGGGACACTATTCCGGGGGCTCCTGCGAGCTGCTGTCCGGAGCGCGTGGTTCCTGCCCCGCTCTGGGCCAGATTAAGCGCTCGCCCTGGTTTTCATTCTTGCCCCCACCCACCCCCTCGGGTTTTTATGTTCTTTTGAGGGGAGGTGCTCGTGAATTAGTGCGGCACCCTTCCCCTGGAAGACGGAGAGTAATTGCTTTTGCTAATTTTAGAGCGCCGAGCCCCTGGGCACAGGCAGCCTACCTGCGCAGCGCGTCTTCGTCCTTAGCGCTGACCCTCAGCTGCTGGGCCGGCGGCAGCCAGTTTGTTTCTTCTCCTGGTAACTCTTACAAGGGCTTTGTATTTCTGAAAGGGGAAGGGAAAAAAAAAAAAAAAAATATATATATATATATATATATATATATATATATATATATTATATATATATATTTTATATATATATTTTATATATATATTTATATATAATATATATATATATATATATAGTGTATTCTATAAATAATATATGTCATTTCTAAGTCATTGAAAAATAAATATATATAGGTGTCCCCCCGCAAAAGGTATACACACTTTGAAAAAAAAATTTAGTTCATTTTTTAAATTCATTTCTAAAAATTGCTAGTTAAAACAGTTGCCTGCCTGCTAAATTTCGATTACTTCTTCCCATATTAAATAAATGATGTCTGCATGTAGGAGGCACAAGAAACCTTAGTAATGTTGTTTCAGCACTTAATCAGATATTCAGTTTTTTAAAAGTTATGATCTATCTCACTGCCAGCCTACTTTTACTTATGGGGTGGTGTGTTGTTGTTGTTTTGTGTGTGTGTGGTTTTTTTTGGCCTTGGGTCTTTGAACAAACTCATTCAGTCTAGTGGAAGTAGTCACTGTTTTATTAGTAGACGTAGAGGGTATTCAAATATGGGATAACAGATAAGTCCTCATTGAATTTACAGTTTAGCAGAGAAGAGGAAATGTCATGAGTAACTACAAGTGGTCAGTGTGGAAGGCAGGCCTGTTATTCCCACACAGGACCTGGTGTGTAGCATAAGAATGACTTCCGGGAGGAAGTTACTGTGAAGAGTAGGGTTAGGAAACTGTTAGGATTTGCACCTCTGGAGAGGGGAGAAGGGAGAACAGTCCTTCTAGGTGGAGAAAACAGCATTCACTGAAGGCAGAGGTGGGTCAGCTAGGGAGCAGCGACCATTTCCATCTGAAAAGTAACAATTTGGCAACACAATTGGGGAAGGCTCATTTGAGCTAGATTATAAAGTGTCTCAAAATCCAAGAAGTTAGGATTTTATTTCTTGGGCAACGAGAAGCCTACAGGCGATTTGGAATGAGAGGCAGAGACTGGAGAACATGAGGCTGGTACCTTATTGAAGGCGAAGGAAATGAAGTCCTGAAATACTCAAGGGTGGCAGAGTCAAAGCCTGTAGGGCCAAACATAACATCCAGTGGGTGAAGGTCGCTTGGTGGAGGAAACCAAAACAAATCCAAGAAAGCATAGCCAGGCTAAAACTTGCAGCCTTTACGCAGTATGAGTTGGGTGTGGTCATGAAAAAAAATAGGGGCCTAGGGTTGCCTGATCTGATTTTCAAGAGAGACTGGAAATCTGGATGTTAATGCAAAAATATCTCCTAATTTTTAAACCTGGGCTACTAATTTTTTAATATATTTTTATTGATTTCAGAGAGGAAGGGAGAGAGAGAGAGAAACATCGATGATCAATGAGGAGAGAGAATCATCAATTGGCTGCTTCCTGCAGGCCCTATACGGGATTAAGCCCACAACCCAGGCATATACCCTGACCAGGAATCGAACTGAGACCTCCTGGTTCATAGGTCTATGCTCAATGACTGAGCCATGCCAGCTGGGCTGTTTTAAAAATTAGAAATATGTCTGCAGTCCATAACAAGTCTTTATCCCTGGGTAGAAGTTGTGGAGCAGAATAGAAGAGATGTTAATGTAGGTGGGATTTATTCATTTGTTCATGTTAATGCTATCACACAAGATGTGTATATAAAAATACTTGGCATTACAAATTAACAGTATATATTGAAGCATTCATAATAAAGTCATCCCACTCCGATTTATTTCAGTAAATTAACTTTTCCATGTAGAATTATACTTACTATGCCTGCTTCCTATGATCTTAATACTGGTTTTCTTCCAGAACTTTTGTATTGAAGAATTTTTTTCTCTATTTTTACTCTTTAGTTTAAAGTATAAGACCGTGATTATGAGTGACCAAATCAAATTCATTGTGGACAATCTCAATAAGGAGCCTTTTAGGAAGAGCTATAATTTAATCACATTTGATTCCCTGGAGCCAATGCAACTATTACAAGTTCTCAATGATGTTCTGGCTGAGATTGACCCAAAGGTAAGAGTTTTCTCTTTCTCTGTGATTGAAAAGGTGGCAGGAAAGCCAGTTTCTGCCTCTCAGTATCTGTCTTGAGCAAATTATTTAACATCTCTGGATTTTATTTTCATGAAGTTTTATTTTACAGGCCTTATGTTTGTAAAGTAATAGGAAATGATCTTAAAGTTTTCTCTCTTAGCTCAAAAATTAAATTATCTACTTGTACTTTATTTAGAAAATAGTTCCCCATTTCCAAACATAAATGGATTTAGTCCAGGAATAAAAATGCTTTTACAAAAGGTTTTATTGTATTGCAAGTTAGCTCATGTCTTTGCACTGGAGAGTTTTTACACTTGACATTCTTGATAGAATCTTGATCTGACTTGTCTACACCCTCACTTGGAATCTGGGGACCTCCATACTTTATCCATGTTATTAAGAGAACATTGTGCCTGTTATGCTCTAGCAGATTGTGAGTTTAAATGTTCTTTGTTAGATTTACAATAACATTTTTTCAATTTCTTTAATTGTTAGCAAGTTGTTGATATCAGAGAGGAGATGCCAGAGCAAACAGCCAAACGGATGTTAAGCCTCCTTGGTATCCTTAAATATAAACCTCCAGGAAATGCCACAGACATGTAAGAATCTGATTGCATGTTGCCTTCTTTTTTTCTTTTTAATTTGGAGAAGTTTTATTTATTTAAAAAAATTTAATAGTATTATGTGTTGCTTTCCTTAAAAGCCAAACCTTCATAGGCTATAGTCAGCATTCCTAGGCACTACCTGGTCTGCCTAAGTCTGTGACCTCGGAACATCACTGAGTTTCAAAATAATCTTGAATTTTTAATGTTATTTTGTCATGCAGAAGTTGTAAGTGGGTCAGTTCTTTCTCCTAATAAAAAAAAGTCAGGCAAATGCACTATTCCATTTTATCATCTAGCTGCCATCCTAGATGAAACTGTAACTTAAGCCTGCCCAGTGAATGACGTGAAGTATTAAGGCTGACTGTACTAGGTAATAGTTCCAACTCAACCTTCCCACGTATTCTAGGGATATATTATATTAAAGGTCTACTTTTATTTGTATTGTTAATGTGCACACTGACTTTAGAATAGCCTTGCTTTTGTCCTTTTTAAATTGTCATGGAAAGCAATCAGGACACTGTAAATCAGATTTTGAGTAAATGTTCTCTTTACATGGTTAACTTATAAGCCCACATTTTTTTGTGTGTTTTTGTTTGTTTGTCTTTTTGTTTATTTGTTTTTTATAGGAGTACCTTTCGTCAGGGTCTGGTGATTGGAAGTAAACCTGTAATTTACCCTGTGCTCCACTGGCTTCTTCAGAGGACTAATGAGCTGAAGAAAAGAGCATATTTAGCTCGTTTCTTAATAAAACTGGAGGTACCAAATGAGTTTCTTCAGGATGAAACTGTGGCTGATACCAATAAACAGGTATTCGATACATATTAGTATTTTAAAACTGTCTGTAATGGATTTCAAGGACATGTTCAAATACATGTTAATCTCTCTTTAGTTTATTTGCTGTCTCTGTATTTTTAGGTGGCACGAAAAGGGAAAACAGTTATTAATTAGCATTCAACTGCAATCATGTATTAAAATATTGACATTTGCACACAAATACCAGTTCAGTGATAGGTGCATGTGGCTAGAAAAAACCATACCCTGAAATTAATGAGTTTAGCATAATTTATTACTTAAGAATTGTGGATAGGTTGGATCCTGGGCTTGGGACTGTAGGGCAGTTTGCTGATCAGTTAGGTGACAATACAATGTGTCATCCAAATCAGAGGGAAAAGGACAAATAATTACACCAGGACCGAAGTATAAATTGACACTCTCCCAGGAAAATTGGGATGGCTGAGCCCCAGAAAAGACTGTGTATAGGCAAAGAAGCTAAGCTTGCAACCTCAGAGGACTTTTTAGTCAGGCTGAAAGTAGACAGAGGGCCAGGAATTTGAAATTTCAGTGCATTTTCCTCACCAGAGCTTTGTGGTGATACTGGGTTTTAGCCTTAAGGTATTAAGGGAGGGAGACAGATGAATAACTAGACAACTGTAATTTTATATGTATTTGCTTTGATGTCATGGCATTCTGATATAGGGCTGTAGAAGCCTTCTGTGTGGGAAATGGTATCGGTGCTGAGACCTGAAGGAGGAATGGGATTTATCCAGGTCAGGGATGAGGGGACTCATACAATATTCTCAAAGGGAACAGGGTTTGTGAACTGGAAGTGAGAGCTTGGGATGTTCCAGAGACTGAAAGAAAACCAGCATAGCGAGAATACAGAATGTGAGGTAGGAAAGTAACCAGAGAGGAAGCAGGAGAAGGATTTACTGACCAGATTTTACAGACCTGCTTTTTTATGCCCTATATAAATGTTTCTCAAACGCTGTGTTCATAATCATTTAAGTCAGCAATTTTCAACCAGTGTGCCACAAGAATTTTCATAACATGCAATGTCTGACTATTTAGTCAAGGGCACTGAGCTCTTTTCCCTTAGACTGTCAAAAAAATGACAATAACCAACATAATAATAACCACCCAGTGTGAAGGAATCAAAATTATATCTACTTTTTTTTTTTGTCAGCTCAGAAAAAAAAAAATGTGTTTTGGTGTGTTGCAGAATTTTAGTCATTGTTTATGTGAGCCTTAAGATGAAAAAGGTTGAAAGTCACTGATTTAAGTAATCAATATAAGTTTATAGATAACCTGATTAAGAAAAGCCTACTGGGTCTAGTCATTAGTTTATCATTTTTTAACTTGTTCTTTTAGTATGAAGAGTTGATGGAAGCCTTTAAAACTTTGCATAAAGAATGTGAGCAGCTTAAGACATCTGGATTTTCCACAGCAGAAATAAGAAGGGTAAAGAAAAAAAAATCCGTTTTTTATTTGAATAACATTAGGTTTAGTTTTTTTTTGTTTGTTTTTTTTTGTTTTTTTGTTTTAGTTAATTCAGTATGAGTCTTAAAACTATATAAAAACTGGTGATAGCAAAAGGCATATTTTCTTTTGTAAGGCCTTGCAGTTCTTTGCTGAAGAAATTAATGAGGCCAGGGTAAATTCATAGTGAGTTCTATGTACTATATAGACCATGCTAATGAATTTTAAAAGGTTACATTTTGAGTCTCTATCTAATATACATATATATGTATATATCTATATCTACTTATATATCTGATATAGAAAATAGGGAAAATAACAAAAAAGAAAAAATTTCCAATTATTTGTATATCCTTTCAGGCTGTGTGTGTGTGTGTGTGTGTTTGTGACCACACGATCCATAATTGTTTATATCTTGCTTTTAAAAAATATATATTTTTATTTTTTATTGATTTCAGAGAGAAAGGGAGAGGGAAGAGAGAGAAAAAAACATCAATGATGAGAGAGAATCATTGATCAGCTGCCTCTTGCACACTCCCTACTAGGGATCGAACCCAAAATTTGGCATATCCCCTGACTGGAACCAAACCCGAAACCGAAACCCTTCAGACCACAGGTCTATCCATTGAGCCAAACCAGCTAGAGCTGTATCTTGCTTTTTATAATTTTTAAAGTATATTTTTATTGATTTCAGAGAGAAAGGGAGAGGGAGAGAGAGAGAAACATCAGTGATAAGAGAGAGACATCGATTAGTTACCTCCAGTACGTGCCCTTGAGCAGAATCAAACCTAGGATTCTTCAGGCCACAGGCCAACGCTCTATCCACAGAGCCAAATCAGCTAGTTGTATTTTGCTTTTTAAATCATTATATCATTAATGTATTCCCATTGTTATCTTTGTATAATATGATTTTAATGATTAAATAATATCCTATAGTATAGATAATTTAAGCATTTTTGTATATTTATGATTGTTTCTTTAGGATTAATTTCTGTTTTTGTTGGTTTTCTAAATGAATACCAAGCTGTCAAATAAATTGTGGTGGGGAATGTCCTTCATCCCAAGGAGGTTCTTTGTTTCTTAATGCTCTGGTTATTATGATAGATTACATAATCATATAAAACCCTTAGCTGAATTCTACAAAGAATACTTTTTCTGATAATGTCTTCTTGACTGCTTTTTAGGATATCAGTGCAATGGAGGAAGAAAAGGATCAGCTCATTAAGAGAGTTGAACGTTTGAAGAAAAGGGTAAGGCAAGAATTAGCACTGTAAGACTTGGGCCACAAGTGTTAAGCACTTGCAAAGACTTAGGAATGCAAATAAAGATTAAGCAGGGCATGGATTCAATCTGAGGAGGGACTCAAATAACCCTGACTGAAAGGGAATCTCCCTAGGCACTAGCCCAAAACCTTCAAGGACCTGGAATCTAGAGCTTGACTGTCATCTCCAGGGAGTATTATTTACCAAAAGGAAATGACAAGTGGGTGTCGGAGTCACGTGACATGCCTTAACCTGACAGTAACATGAACTACTTATTCCCTTACTGTAGGTGGAGACAGTTCAGAATCATCAACGGATGCTTAAAATAGCAAGACAACTTCGAGTTGAAAAAGAGAGGGAAGAATTTCTTGCACAACAGAAACAGGAACAAAAGAATCAGGTATCCATATAAAAATTTATATTCTCATGATGAAAGAAATAGATCTTTATGCCAATTCAAGTGTAAAGAAAGAAGAACTTTCGAAGTTCATGTTTCCCTTTGTGAGCATGATAGAATACTCTTCTACAACATCATGATAGAATACTCTTCTACAACAGCATCAAGGACCTTTGGGACTCTATACTCAGTATGTATCTGTACACTCCCTTTTGGCCTATGCTGAGCTCATGTTCCAACACTGCCAAATATCATTGTTTCATCAACAAGCAGTAAGGTTAACTGTTGATGAAACTCGTAGACTCTCTCAAGGGGTGTTGAGATTCTGGGGCTATAATATCCTTTCTCTTCCACTGATCACAGTGTCCTCTACATTTTACTCCGGCGGTAAATAAGCAAATCATGAAAAGGCTCCAAGCACCCACCATCCACATTTTTAGACTTTGCCTTAATGAAAAAACAATTTGGCCAGAAAAAATAACACTTCTAATTTGTTAAAAGTCGTCCTTAAAACTAGTAGACTTATCCATTAAAAGTATAGTTCAGTTCAGCTCTATTTCCTTCTAAGTGGGCAGTTGAGGGGTTTGGCTTTCTCATAACTCGTTTGGCATCACAGTCATTCTACTGCGGCAGCAACTACACTGCCTGGCCCTGAGGCTACTTGGCATCAAATTCTGATTCTGAGATCATGTGTGAGAATGCTTACAGTCCTTAAAGAAAACCATGTTACAAGAAAAGCCTGGTAACTAGATTCTTTAGCAAGTATTTTTCTTTGACCACCAAATTAAGCAAATATTTAAGTTTTACATGAAAGAGTATTGAAGGAACCATTTATATTTGGGATTTAATAGCAATTTTCTTAGTTTTTATTCCTTTATATCACAGGAATTATGTGAAACTTGTATTTTTCGTTGTTTGTATGAGTGGTAGGTTTCAATAGACTGAGCCAGTAATAGATCTAATTCTATTTTAAAGCTATTTCATGCAGTGCAGAGACTGCAAAGAGTACAAAACCAGCTGAAAAGTATGCGCCATGCGGCAGCAGATGCAAAGCCTGAAAGTAAGTGGAAATTATTAGATAACATAGTTGATCAGAGAATACTATTTCAAATCGGTACTCTCCCTTAAAGCAATCAACTAATGAGAACTGTCATCAAGTGATGTCTCAGCATTTTCTGTCTAATGAAGGGGAGCCCTAATACAGGCATCTTTAAGTCTTCACCTGGGGTTTAATTCCTGTTCAGTCAGAGTTTTGTCAAAGGGTGAAGAGAATGAAAACCATTGTGGAGGGAGGCCCTCATATAATCTGTGAGAATATGAAGTATTTAGGATGTTATGAAAAAGATGAATGGAAGAAATGTGAAGTTGTTCTAAAGCCAGGGCTATAAAGACAAAGAATAACACTGAGTGTTTTCCCTATTTGGGCAATTATGCTAATAACATGGGTCTCTAATTTTAGATTAGATGAGCCACATGGCTGGTTGGGCTCATCTTAATTTTTGATGGTAAAGATGTGAAGGAATTTACATCAAATCCAAAGAACATATAATGCCTGGCCAATGTGGCTAGTGGTTGAGTGTTGACCTATGAACCAGCAGGTCCCGGTTTGATTCCTGGTCAGGGCGGACAGGAGGCAATCAATCAATGATTCTCTCTCATTGATGTTTCTCTTTCGCCCCCTTCCTTCCTCTCTGAAATCAATAAAAATATCTTTAAAAAATAATATCAATAAGCAACTTGTTTATATAGGCCTGCTCATGTTAAAAAATTATTAGAGCTTACCATTAATAGTGAATTTTTGGAAATGAAGGCAGTGTATATAAGAATTGAAAGATTTGTTATGCAGAAAAATAATTGGCTGATCAGTACAGTTCAATACAATTTCAGATTTAGCCTAAACACATGTTTCTGTAATATCTGTTATTCTTTAATTTTATTAGGTTAAGTATTTCTTGATATTATGTTTTAATTCTGGCTACTAAACAGAATATCCAGACATATATACAGTATTAGTAATATTTCATTTTTTAAATTTGAGTTGATAGTTTTTATTTTGCTTTGGCTTTCTAGTTTAAATAGAAATCATTTGGGCCAGGAATACATAATTGTTTATTTAATAATAAAATGGACACAGTTCTGTTTAGGGCATCTCTTGTGGTGTTGGTTTAAAATATTGATGTAAGTAATATGTTAGTACATGCTGCTAAATTGTTAAGTAGTAATAAAAATAATAGGCTCGCCGAAACCGGTTTGGCTCAGCGGTAGAGCGTCGGTCTGCGGACTGAAAGGTCCCAGGTTCGATTCTGGTCAAGGGCATGTACCTTGGTTGTGGGCACATCCCCCGTAGGCGGTGTGCAAGAGGCAGCTGGTTGATGTTTCTCTCTCATCGACATTTCTAGCTCTCTATCTCTCTCCCTTTCTCTCTGTAAAAAATCAATAAAATATATTTTTTAAAAAATAATAGGCTCAAACCAATAGTCCATTAATCCAGTATTTCTTGATCATCTACAGAATGTCAGGTATTGTACTGTTAGGAATAGAAAGCAGAAATCCTATATAATAAAAGCCTAATATGCTAAGTGTCCGGTCGTCTGGTCTTCTGTTCAACCAATTAAAGTGTAATATGCTAATGATATGCTAAGGCTGCTCAACCACTTGCTATGATGTGCACCAGGGGGCAGACAGTTGAATGGTCAACCAGTCACTATGATGTGCACTGACCACCAGGGGGCAGATGCTCCAACCAGTAACTTGCTGCTGGGGTCTGGCTGATCAGGACTGAGCAAGACGGGCCAGATACTCCCTGGCACCCTCCCGTTGTCCCTCCCTGGCTGGCCAACCTCCTGTGTCCCTCCCTGACCATTATTGTGCACTGGTGGGTTCCCTCAGCCTAACCTGTACCCTCTCGAAATCTGGGACCCCTCCAGGAATGTCAGAGAGCTGGTTTCGACCCAATCTGCAGGGCAGGCCGAGGGACCCCACTGGTGCACGAATTCATTCACCGTGCCTCTAGTATGTCTACAAAGTGCTCACAGTGTAATGGAGGAATGACCAGCAGTGTGCAATGTGACGAATTTGCTGATGAAGCTCAGCATAGGGTTCTGTGAGAACAAAGAGGCAGAGCACCACACGCTAACAGACAAATGACTTCCTGGACATTGTGGTCACTGAGTTAAAGCTGGAAAGGTGAAGCAGTGGAAGACATTCCAGTCCAAGGTGCAGTGACATAAAGAGGGTGGGCTGAGCAAATGATGGATGAAGATCCTAGTAGATGAAGGTTAAGCCTCTCCTGACTGCTTGTGTTTGAAAAGAGAGCAGGAGAGGGAGTGTGCAAATGAATGAGATAGCACTGTGCCTAGACTGCAGGAGGCTAGTAGGGGAGCGGTGGTTACGTGCTGAAGGAAAGAGCCAGACAAATTGAAGATTTAGGAGGAAATGCTGAAAATTGATAGCAGCCTTCCCAATTGTATCCCCATGCCCTGCATTGCATTGAATCTTCTATAACAGTACCACAATGGGTTAATGGTTGGCATACCTAACTCTGACTCAGCTAAACTTTAAGCAAGTCACCAAGTCATAATTGGTCTACTTCCTGGCCCTTGCACATTAGATTACACAAATAGGCACTCATTAAAGTCTGTTAAGAAGTTGGGAGGTGAGAGTAAAGACCTTGACTTTGGATAGGAAAACAGTGATCTTTTCCACACAGAGGAGGGGAATCAAGTAAGAAAAAAATGGTTGAAATGTAAAAATAAGGTATTACATATATAATATATGTTGTTTTTTTGTTTTGTTTTGTTTTTTGGGGGGGTGGGCAGGGAGTGGGGAATAGGAAGTTAAAGAGTTCTTGCTTTGCTGACATCTTTTTGGGAAACAATTGTATTTAGCACTTTAGAAAAAGGCTAGATTAAGCAGATGTTATAATAATTGATTCAGGTGTTTAGTTAAATAAGATACATCTGAATTCTTCACTATCAAAAAAGGTTTATAAAAAGTATTTATTCACATACACATTATTTTTAAATATATTTTTTATTGATTTCAGAGAGGATGGGAGAGGGAGAAAGAGATAGAAACATCAGTGATCTGAGAGAATCACTGATGGGCTGTCCCCTGCAAGCCCCGGACTGGGGATTGAGCCTGCAACCTGGGCATGTGCTCTGACTAGGAATCCGACCCTAAGCTCCTGATTCATAGGTCATGCTCAGCTACTGAGTCACATTGGCTGGGCCGAGCAAAATTATTTTTAACGTAACAATGTAATTTGTATTTTTTCAGAGTAACAACCATATTATAAAACATTCAAATATATTTTTATACTCTACACATTTGTGAGATTTATTACATAAAAGAACCTACTCAGTCAGTGATAGTAGAAGTAAGATGTTTTCAGAGGGTTTTTAATTAAAAAGTTTACTGAGATCTTAGAGGCCAGGATTTCAAAAGATAATTTATAAAAAACCGCATAGAAACATATGAATACTTTTCAAAGTCTATATTAAAATTTTTAAAAGAACTTAAAATGTGATAGAAATTCTGTTTTTTGTTTTTAAACAGCTTTATTGAGTAAAATGGACAAGTATTAAATTGTACCTATTTAAAGCGTACAATCAATTCGTTTTGAAGCCATCAAGATGACAAGTATATCCATCCTCCCAAACGTTTCCTTGTGCCTCTTTGTAATGTCTCATTCCTCCCTTCTCTGCCTCTCTACCTGTCCCATGCGACCATTGATCTGCTTGCCATCATTACAGATTAGTTTGTGTTTTCTAGAATCAGAAACTTTTTAAAAATAAGGTATATAAAAATTAAGAGTTTTAAATCTTTTAAAACATTTCAGACTTTGATTCCTTACATCTCTGGTTACATGTGGTTTATTTAAGAACTTTGGAGAAACTAGTCATCTGAAGATGGAGAAAACTAGTCATCTAATAACCAGAGAAGCCAGGAAGTAGATTTAATCTGAAACCACATCATTATCGTGTGATTCATTAAACACTTTCTCTCCCTCTCTTTCTGCAACCCCTAAAGGGGGGGGGGGGGGGGGGAGATTGTGGGGATGAATGGAAACTCACGAATTTGCCTTTAATAAATTTTTACATGTTAATATATGGTTAGCACAACAGAACTAAAAATACTTTTAAGGTTTTGGGCCAGGTTTATTATGCAATCTACGTACGTAGATTACTTAAACCGGAAATCCAATGTTTTAAAAAACTTAAGCCAGACTTTGTAAATGTGTAATGGAAAGATCTGAAATAAACTTTTAAAAGCTTTCTAGGCTGGGAGTTTATAACAAAACCATTATTCACTGAAAATCTGTGTGTGTATGTTTGTGCACTCTGTCAAAATAAGAAAACTATTAAATCTTAAAAATATATCTTGCCACTTCACTGTAAACTTTACAAAATCAAAACTACCAAACATAGAAAACTGAAAAAAATGCATGAATGTAGATAATTTCTTTTTTGGATTTGAATGTGTGCTTTGAAGCTGACAAATTATAATGTGTTAGTACTTATGAAGTAATAGAACTATAAATTGCCTAAGAAGTGTTGCCAAAAAAAAAAAAAAAGAATAAATGACCACATATAGAAGAAAGAAGCTGAATTACATTTGTGTTGTCATTTGGTTCTTGGATTTCTTACTTAAATGCAAAATGTGACTCAACAAAATATCTGGCCTTTTCTTTTCCTTTTCCTTTTCAATCACAGTTTACATTCAGTACCATTCTGCACCAGTTTCAGATTACAGCAAAGTGGCCAGAAAACCATCCACCCTATAGAGTGGTCCCCCTGCTGCCCAAACATCCACTTTGGCCTTATATCCAGTTATCTTAACATTATTGACTATATTTCCCATGCTGTATCTGGCTTGTTTTGTAAATATTATTCTTGCATTAATTTATGGAGTAAAATATAATTAGGTGGTAATTTGTTTTTTAATTGATTTTTAAAGAGAGAGAGGAAGGAATAGAAACATTGATTTATTGTTCCATTTATTTTCCCCCTCCATTGAATTCTCCCTAGCCATCCTCACCACCCCCCAGCACATGCCCTCACCCCCCTAGTGTCTGTGTCCATTGGTTATGCTTATATGCATGCATACAAGTCCTTTGGTTGATCTCTTACTCCCCCACTTCCCTGCCTTCCCTCTGAAGTTTGATGGTCTGTTCAATGCTTCTCTGTCTCTGGATCTATTTTTGTTCATCAATTTATGTTCTGGTAGATTCTTGTATGTGCACTGACTAGGGATGGAATCCATAAACTTGGTCTATTGGAATAGCTCTAACCAACTGAGCTACTAGCCAGGGCTTAGGTGGTAATTTGGAAAGATCATAATACTAGGTTTTTTGTAATTATTTAAACATTTCTTCCAGGTAAATTGTTCTTTTTAAAAAAATATATTTTATTGATTTTTTATAGAAAGGTGGAGAGAGGGATAGAGAGCTAGAAACATCGATGAGAGAGAAACATCGACCAGCTGCCTCCTGCACACCCCCTACCAGGGATGTGCCCGCAACCAACGTACATGCCCTTGACCGGAATTGAACCTGGGACCTTTCAGAACGACGCTCTACCACTGAGCCAAACCGGTTTCGGCTGTTCCTTTTTTAATTATCATTCTAATTAGCAAAAGACTTCAATGGTTAATCTTTCATGGTACTACTAGAGACCCGGTGCATGAAAATTCATGTATGGGGGGAGGGGGGTCCCCTTAGCCCGGCCTGCCCCCTCTCACAGTCTGGGAGCCCTCAGGGGCAGGAGGTGATCCAGCAATCAGGGGAAGGCGATGCCCCCTTCACACCTCTGCTGCTGCCACTGCCAGCTGCATAAGCCTTGGCCAGCCCTGGTTACCTGAGCCTCAGGTGGCCCTGGGCAGCTGGGCAGCCACCATCTGAGGCTTGCCTATGCCTCAAGCTGGCCCTGGGCAGCTGGAGGCTGATGAGATTGGGGGACTCCAGAGTCAGGGCTGAGGGAACTGGGCACCGCCATCTTGTAGCTGTGGGCATCACCATCTTTGAGGGCATGGCAGTCAATTAGCATATTCCCTCATTTGTTGTGGGCACCAGCATCTTTTATGAGGGCATGATGGCCAATTAGCATATTCCCTCTTTATTAGCTAGGATACTGATGAGAGAGAATCATTGATTAGTTGCCTCCTGCACATCCCCTATTGGGAATCGAGCCCACAACCCAGGCATGTGCCCTTGAACAAAATCAAACCTAGGACCCTTCAATATACAGGCCAATGCTCTATCCACTGAGCCAAACAGGCTAGGGCCAGGTCTTATATTTTAAAGTATACAGAATGTTTCTTGGGCTGAATATTCATTTATTTTATTTTCAAAGGTTTAATGAAGAGACTAGAGGAGGAGATGAAGTTTAATTCATATATGGTAACTGAAAAATTTCCTAAAGAAATAGAGAACAAGAAAAAAGAATTGCATTTTTTACAAAAAGTAGTGTCAGAGCCTGCTATGGGCCATTCTGATCTTCTGGAACTTGAATCTAAAGTAAGTGACAATCATCTTTTCATAGTTTCCAATTTATCTCATCCTTAGTCCTATGTAAAGTATGTGAACTGATTTTTATAGTGTCCAATTCTTGGCTCTTAAGTTAACCTGCCCTAAGAATTGATAGCTCTTATGAGGAGTTGCTCTTTATGAGAAATTACAGAAGGTAATGCTGTTACCTAGAATGCATGATTTATGAAAACTTAGTCAATTGCTTAGGAAACTAACTTGGACATATAAATTAAAGCATATGATAGATTCATAGGTTTATGTATTCATAATATATAATTGGCTAATATGTATTCATATAACAAAATGGCAACTTTTAAATATCAGTAATTTTTATTTGCAAGAATAATATTGTAGCAATTTTATATTTAAAGCCTAATATATTTATTAGCCTTTTATGCCAGCTTTGGAATTACTAAATTTTTTTGTAATGCGCATTGAAACCTGGTACCATATTGTAACACTTTTGCTCCCTAGAAACAAAACACTAATCAGATATGTATTTTTTTAAAATACCAAATATCATGAAAATAGAACCATTTTGATTTGCTAATCTTTCAATGTGCTCAACAGCCACTAAACTAAATAGTATATAATTTTGATCATTTTATTCTTTTAATTTTCTTATAGAAATTTTGTCAGATTTGGCTCAAATTTGATGTCTTATAATTAACAAGGAAATTCTAGTTTTTTCAAAGGATAGACAGATATACTGAAAATCATGTAATTTTTTTAATTTGTTGAAGGACTATATGCTTCTGTGGAGTTAGTCAGTTTTATTACATTGGGAAAGGTTTGGATTAATGAGTGGGATAAATGACAGCTATGGGAGAACCACAGATCATTTAAACAGGAAGGTTTTTAGATGTCATCCTTGTCAACTCTCAGCTGGGTTCATGAATTCCTTATATAAATCCCTATGGAATGTTAGTCTGGATTTTATTACTTGCAGTGACTTAAAAGTCACAAGCTAGGAGAGAGGATCACTTCAGATTTAAAAAAAAAATTTTAATACAATAATAATGTATAAATATCTCATGCTGAATACTTTAGGATTATTTCGACATGGATGGTTAAATCCATGTAAGTAATAATACTGTGTAAAATTTATCATGAACCACAAAATGTTCAGTATTTCTAAAAGTAATCATAACAACCCACTCATAACATCAACAGGACCATCTGATCACTGATGATAAGAACCATAAATTCAAAGCTTGGCTGGGCCAATTGTCCCTTGCTTTGTGTAATCATAGGGAGAGATTTAACCTTTTTTATTTTCATGCTGTTTTAGATAAATGAAATAAATACACAGATCAATCAGCTGATTGAAAAGAAAATGTTGAGAAATGAGCCAATTGAAGGCAAACTCTCACTATATAGGCAACAGGTAAGCCCATTCTTTTGGCCCACTTAGCTCTGAGCATCTTCATAAACACCACAGGCTGTGTTATCTGCAGTGTTAAAGTGAGAAGGGAGAAAGCAATCAGTGTTCTTCTGTCATTGCTAATCTCCGGATTATAACAAGGAATTTATGGAAAAAGCTACAAAAGACTTGTGTTCAAGTTTGAAATGCAATACACCAGATAATGCTTAGTTTCCTTCAAGTCTGCCAACTGTGGTGATAGGGCTATTTGTGTTTATATCTGTGAATGTGGAATTTGATTACTTAAATGAAAGGTTACTTTAAGTGATATAAGTAAAAATATTTGTAATCTTTAATGAATTAATGGCAATATACTGTTTCAAGTTTAAAATTAGTTTGGAAGAATAGAATGAATTAAATTTTACTGCTAAGGCATTTATCATTTTTTCCACAGCTATTAGATCATGAGATTATATATGTTGTAATGTATTTCTCAACCAAAGAGTCAGATGAAAGCCATGGATTCTAAAAAGAACCCAGGCAGGAGTTCAGTGTGAAGAGCATTCGGTAACCTCAGTAAACACCGAGCTGCATAACAAAGCACTATTCAAGGATGTTAGAATTTTTAAAAACCATTTACAATAGAAAATTTCAACCATATACCAAAGTAGAGAAAGTAGTTCAGTAAATGCTCATGTTTCCCAAAGTTACAGCAATCATGGCCTTCTTGTGTCATTTCTACCACCAGCCCAACTAGATTATTTTGAAGGAAATCTTAGATTTAATATCATTTCATCTATAAATATTTCAGAATATATCACCAAAAAGTAAAGTTTTAAAATTTTAATTCCAACAACATATCACATAACCTACTGTTTTTAAAGTTTACTCATGTTTTAATATGTATCAATATCTCATTATTATTGCTGGGTAATTGTATGGATACTTTCACATTTTGTTTACTCATTCATCAGTTGATGGTTGTTCCTACTTTCTGGCTATTATAAATAATGCAGCTATGGACATTTTAATACAAGTTTTTGTGTAGAAATATGTTTTCATTTCCCTTGGCTGTATTTCTAGGAGTGGAGTTGTGGGTACATATGATAATTCTGTATTTAACACTGAGGAAATGCCAAACTGCTTTCCTATGAGCTACACCATTTTACATTCCCACCAACAGTGTATGAAGTTTCTGATTTCTTCACACTCTTGCCAATACTTATTATCTGTCTTTTTTATTGTAGCTATACTAGTGGATATGCTTACATTGAAATTTTAGCTTGGTAAACTAAAATATAGAGAATTTCACAATTTGACAGAACGTTGATTGGATATGTTTTATTTTACATTGGCATTTAATGCTCAATTAGGCATCTATCATTTCACGTAAAAAAGAAGCAAAAGCTGAGGAACTGCAGGAAACAAAGGAGAAGTTAGCCAGCCTCGAGCGGGAGGTGTCTGTGAAGACGAACCAGGCCCGGGAGTTTGATGGCACTGAAGTTCTGAAGGGAGATGAGGTAAGCTGAGGTCTCTCATGGGACAAGGATGTGAGTATTGTTCTTGTTTGAAACCATGAATGCTTTTGCCTTTTTTAAATCTTGAATGTCAATAATGGGAAGTTAATATTATTTTATGAAACCTCTTTATATGTAACTGAAAACTCTGTGTAGTAATATTAAGAAATTCTTGATGTACAATGACAGATCTTAATGATTTTATGAGCTAATATTCCAAATTTTCACTGTTTAATTAAGTGGTTTTATACTGGATTTATTTTATAAAGCTGAAATCAAATGAGTAGGAACAGATAAGAAAAAAATTCATAATTGTTGATAAATGTAATTTCATAGAGAGCTAAGAACAGTCACCACTAAGTAACTTTGTCAGTAATGTGTGTTTGACCAGTTGCACTGACACCATTAAAATGACTTCATTGTGGATGTTTACAAAGTTTAAAAATACAGTTATATCTTGCATTGCTACATACACTTTAAATTTTGAACAGTGCTTTAACAGCTATTATTTGTCATTTTGTCAAGCTCATAAGATTAGTAGTGGGACAAGTAATAATTGTCATTTATAGGTGATTAAACTTAAGTACCAAAAATATAATTCCCCATCTCCTTTTATAAAGTTAGCTCAAAAATGAAGGAAGGAAGGAAAATATCTTCAGCTCAGGGCTTTTTTCTTTTCTTTTTTCTTTTTTAAAGCAAATCAAATGGTAGATCACATTTAATCTTAAACATTGCTTGTATTTTACCACCTCTTACAGCTTTTAAGAGGCCTCAGCAAAGGCTATTTTTAAAAGCTGCTTTGTCCAGACCTCATTTTGGCTTTCAAAAGTTGTTGAATTCATATTGTTACAAATTTGCTGTGAACCTTCACTGTGCCAAACACTTCTCTGTTGTGCTTCTTTCTGGTTGTAACCTCGCAATATGCCTTTTCACTTATTGGGGAAGTGGTAGGTTTTCAAAAGTCAGAGCTTGATTGAAACATTCCTTTGGCTTTTAACATCCACTTCCAGATTGCTTTGAGACACGGGAGTATTTTAAATGATACTTGGAAGCCAACAGCATGTGCTTGGTGACATCCTTTAGCCAAGAAAAAAAAAAAAAAAAAGATTAATTATGTAGCAATTTTGCTTTATAAGAGAACATGTTATCTTCTAGCATTTTTATCTATTCTTAAGAAAATGCTGCCCTATTGACAGGAAATAGTAATTGCTATGGCCACATTTGGCATGAGAAGTGCTTATAATTCAGCGTTAGCTATTCCCTGTATGCAAATAGAGGCATAAGAATCTAATTCCAAACTATTAGCCTTTATTTATTTTTAAGTTTTTTAAAAATATATTTTTTTATTGATTTCAGAGAGGAAGGGAGAGGGAGAGAGAATCATTGATTGGCTGCCTCCTGCATGCCCCCTACTGGGGACTGAGCCTGAAACCTGTGCATGTGCCCTGATTGGGAATCAAACCATGACCTCCTGTTTCAAAGGTTGACGCTCAACCACTGAGCCACACCAGCTGGCTACTAGCCTTTATTTTTGACTAAATATATTGTAAAGGAGAAGTATCTGATGACAGGAAACACATTTTTTTTTTTTTTTAGGGGAAAAAAGCTAACTTTGGAAATCATAAAATCAAGTTAATTTTTAAGCAATGGCCAACCACTTACTTGGCAGTTATCTAAAAAAACAGAGGGTATTGGAGAATATTCAGCATAATTTTATAAGTAACAAATCTTGGTAGACAAATTTTATTTTCTACTTTGATGAAGTGATGGGCCAAACGGACAAAAGGGAGGAAGTTTGTTATACTTACAATTATATAATACACATATACTTTACCGGGGTTTCATTTGATACCACATGGTAACCACCAAAAAATTATGTTCTTTGTCACTCATCTGTTTACACAGAGAGAGTATCAAGAAGTAGTAGTGTCCTGGACGGTGTGCTAAGTGGTTAGAGCACCCCCCCTTGCACCAAAGATTCTCGGGTTTGATCACCAGCCATGTTGTGGCACCAAGAATGTACAAGAGTATATGTTTCCGCTCTTACTTAAAACTCTACACCACACTTGATCCTCAATCTTTTAATTTTTGGAATTCTGACAATATTTTGCTTGAATTTTCATTTTTCTTGATAAGGAATTGGATTGAATATCTGTCCAATACATATTTGGTCATTTCTATTTCTTCTGTCATTTTTCTGTTTATTTTATTTCTCCATTTTTTTCTAATGGATTGTATTTCCCTATCTATCATATTTTTACATATATTTTGCATCATAACCTGGATAATTGTTTTTCTTCTAGTCTGTTACTGTCTCTTTCTATACGGAGTCTTTTGTCACACAGAGAGTTTCTTCTTCCTTCCCAGCAGCTTTGTTGAGATATACTTAGCACCCAATAAACTGCACACACTTAAAGGGCAAATTGTTGCTGTGATTCAAGTTATGATAACTTCAAATATTGGGACATGATTTTAATATTAAGTAAATTCAGTTTTCCATAATTTGGAATGTTTTAAAGATCTTTACATAGAAATATCTTGCTTTATGCAGATTTAGTGTGAGAGGAGATAGAAAGACAGTATGGTAGCAAGCATAGTAGGTTATGATTATGACTCTGAGTTGTCAGTCAAAGGTTGCTGTGATCAGTATGATTTTTTTAAGATAACATAAAACTTAAGTAACCTCTCTTCCAGGAAGCATAGCCTGTAATTATTTTTCCAGCTCACACCTCACAGTCTTCATATGTATTCATATGTGTGGTAACATAGCTCAGTTAAGATCATTTGCTCAGTTTCTGCCTCCCCTAAGAAACCAGTCAGCTCCATGGCGACTGGGGCATATCTCATGCTCACTACCATTTACTTGATAGCTGGCCTGTAATAGGCACTCGGTAAATGTATAGAAACCCAGATAAAAATGTATAACTAATATAATCTAATATAGACATATTCTTTCATAGAAAGATGAAAATATTAAAAATATCATGGTACTTCAGTTGATAAGAAAAATTATTTTATGTAACTCTTCATCATAAACATGGTTGTTTATTTTATCGTATAGACAAAATAATTTTTTAAAATATCTGCCCATAGCCCTGGGCAGTGAGGTTCAGTTGGTTGAACATTATCCTCTGTGTGTGGAAAGGTTCCAGGTTCGATTCTGAGTCAGGGCACATACCTGGATTGCAGGTTCCATCCTCTGTTGGTGGTCAATGTTTTGCTCTCAAATCAATGTTCTCTCTCTCTCCCCCTCTCCTTTCCTCTCTCTCTCTCTCAAATCAATAAAAAAAGCATGTACTTAGGTGAGTATTTTTATAAATCCTATATAATAAAAGCCTAATATGCAAATCTACCAAACGGCAGAACAACCAGTGGAATGACCGGTCGCTATGATGCACACTGACCACCAGGGTGTAGATGTTTAACGCAGGAGCTTCCTCCAGCCTGCAGGCCCCAGGCCAATAAAGGCTAGGGAGGGGGCCCCCTCTGTCCCAATTGCTCCACCAGTTGCTCCACAGAGGGAGATGACCGGCAACAGAAGCATGTGGGGGGTTAAGGGAGCAGTGCCGGCGAGTGGGTGGTGCCCCACTGGTCAAGGCAGATACAAGTGAGAGCCTGATCACCCTGCTGGTTACCCTAAAGTAGGGGTGTCGAACTCAATCAGAGAAGGGGCCAAAATCTAAAATCCAGCCTAAATTTAGGGCCGAATGGTTTACTGAACAGTCATAAACTGTCATTGTAATGGAAACGCAGCGGAGTGCAGTGATGACAGCACGGTGCGGGCCACATTGCAAGGCCTGGCGGGACGGATTTGGCCCGCGGGCCTTGTTTTTGACACATGTGCCCTAAAGATTGGCCCTGCTTGCCGGCCAGGCCTAGGGACCCTACCTGTGCACGAATTTCATGCTCTGGGCCTCTAGTAAATAAATTAATGCCTGGCCATAAGCCTGTATTTGCCATTTAATATGATAGCCTCTAAGTTAGTTCTTTTGGTAAGTGATGAGTTTTTCGCTTTTTAGGCAATGTGAGCTTGATGACTTGTTTTACTTACTGTAAGAGCAAAAAATAGAACTTGTGCTTCTTGTAGTAGTGCTACGTGGCTACTGTCTTAATCACCCTGATCTCTATTAGCAAAGCAAACAAAAAGCAGCCCCGGTGATGCAGTGCCCCCTTCCCAGAGCTGTCATTCAGATGATGAATGCATGCCTTTTAGGTCTGAACTTTTTTATAGCAACAATGAGTCTCTGGTTAAGGTTCTGTTGGCGCTTCATGCATTGAAAGCTCTTTCCTGGTTTGTGGTGCATGGGTATAGAGTCCTTTGTGTTTTCTCCCCTAACCGTTACAAGAGCTCATCTGTTTTGCTGTCAATATCTACTTACAAAATGTGCTTACTCAAAAAATATTTATAAGCAGCTTTAAAAAGGCCCAACCACGCCCAGCTGGCATGACTCAGTGGTTGTGTGTCAACCTATGAACCAGATCATGGTTCGATTCTCAGGGCACATGTCTGAGTTGCAGGCTTGATTCCCAGTGTGGGGCGTGCAGGATGCAGCTGATCAATGATTTCCTCTCCCTCTGCCTTCTTCTCTGAATATATATATTTTATTTTAAAGCCCAACCAATTCATTCTATAGCTACCGACTGCAATCCTAAAATCCTAGAGCTAAATTGCAAAGATTATGAAATCTTTAAATACTTCAAAGAGAAGCACAATGAAGATAAGGAAATCCTGGCAAGATTTACTTCAGCTGTCAGATCCCAAAAAATTAGGAATCAAATTTTGACACTTGTAATTGAATCATCACCCTTCCAAGTGAGCCAAGGCAAACCTGTGATATTTTTAGAACCTTTCAAATCACATTGTGCTCTTTAGAGTTCATAGCAGGACCTGAGGCCCCTAAAATTTTCTAAGAGTTGGAACAAAACAGAATCCAATAAATTAGGCTCAGTGCACTGTAATAGAAGTGGTATATTACATATGCAATCTAGGTAATTCCACAATTTTAACCCCGAATTTGAAAATATTTCATAGAAATTAGTTTGTGAGATTTAACTGCTTACACAGCAGTTGAAAATCCCATCCAGATACAGTAGCAGCTGTGTGCTGGTGACTTGCTTTATAATAGAAGCCTAGAGACCTTGGGAGGTATGACTGACTGTGTTTCACAGATTGGTGTTCCTGTGCCACAAGTTTCTGTTAAGCAATTTTCTACCAGAATGTATCATATTGCTTTTTATAAACTCTCAAGAATTAGCAGCTAATTATCCATTGCCATATGGAGGCAATTATATTGTTTATGCTTTGCTTGGTGAGATCTTTCTAATTTAAAGTTTAAAACGTAATACTAACAGGTTGGTAAAGGTTAACATAGTATTTGTATGTGTGTTTAGATATATGGAACGAGTTATGATAGGTGATTTGGAAAGACTGTCATTTTAGCAGAAAGCAAAGGTTGCTGTGAAACATTTTTTTATTGCCTTAAAGCAAGTAGCAGCTCTCAGACCAGACTTCAGGGAATCCAAATGATTTATGGCATGAAGTTGACACGAAAAGATAGTCTTTTCAGGTTTTCTGCAAGTCTGAATTTAGACAGGATACAAGGGACTGACAAATGGGCAAAAAAAATTGTAGCCGTTGGGTATAGTCATGCTATTCTTGAACAGTTGCTGTTATTTCATTGCACACCTAACTTTCTTGGGTCTCAGCTTCTTGACCCTATAAAGTACTTATTATATGGTTGTCTTGTAAAGTCTTGCAGCTAATTCCTGTGGAAATAGTTGTCCTGTAAGATATTGAGGTGGAAAGTTTGCAGCAGGAATAGAGATTCCTGTTTCTACATAAATATCCAGAATGATGTCTGGAATCCAATCATACTTGTGAGCTCCAGATAAGCTTTAAGGGCATCTAAATGTTTCATACTTAGGGAAATAGGCTGCCTTGCCCTTTAAAAAGCTAGCCCAGATTTTGATCATTACTATGAAAGGCTCTAAAATATATTAAATGGATAAGAGGAGAAAGAACATCTGCCAAATTTCATTTTGATCACAAAGGAAATGAGTCAGTAAAATTGGTCCCAAAGCCAGAAGCTAGCGCTCTAAAGCATTAATCTTATTGATTTCAGCATCTAAAATGATGGCTGCTCTTTCTTAAATGACAAATTTAGATTACAAATGCATATTGGTCCAAATGATTAGTAATAGCTGCTATAATGGGCCTTTCTGCTCAGTGACAAGCTTTATAGTTCAGTTACATGACAAATTTGTCTGATTGGCCTGCTACTGCTAGAGTGAACTATTTTCCTTAATATCTCAAGGATTCATTGTAAATCCCTATGGATGTACAATGAACACGAGAAAAAAGTGAAATTCCCTAATAAAGAAATGGAAATTAAATGTAAGATTCTCTTTTACATATAAAATTGACAATTATAAAAAGTACCATAAATAGACTTTGAAGGGCAGAATGTATCAAAACCCTATTTCTTTTTTACCATTTCTGGAAACATGTCCTGTAAAAGTTATTAAGAATGTGTCTATCCCAGCTGGCATGGCTCAATGTTTGAGAATTGACCTATGAACCAGGAGGTCGTGGTTCAATTCCCTGTCAGGGCAAATGCCCAGGTTTTGGGCTCTATCCCGAGTGGGAGATGTGCAGAAGGCAGCCAGTCAATTCTCATCATTAATGTTTCTCTCTTTTTCTAATTATCCCTTCCTCTCTGTATATTAGAGGCTCAGTGTATGAATTCTTGCATGGGTGGAGTCAGCCAGTTTGGCCACGGGGAGTGGACAATTTGCATATTAGCCTTTTAATATATGGGATATACACTGAGTGGCTGGATTATTATGCATTCAGAGATCATAATAATCTGACCACTCAGTGTATATTTTAAATGTCTAAAGATTTATATTCCATATGTTCATCGTGATTTTATTTTTATAACTTGAGAATTCAGAAATAATCTGAAATCCAAATGATAGAAATGTTTAAAAAAAAATTGAATTGAGTACATTTTTTAAAATCTTACTGGCTTTATTCATCTCTTCATGAATCAGGCAGCATCCCATTTAGTCAGAGAGGAGCTGTAAGGAGCTTTACAAAATGGAAAACTTCTATAGACAGAAGGGAGCTGGCCAAGCAAAAAGGGGATTGGTTGTGGCAAGGTCATCTTCCTTTAGGGGATGGCAGGGGTCTGTCAGGCAGATTGTGGTAACCAGGTAATTCCTGGTGGACTGGTTTAAGATTCCATTCCTGGGAGGGGCTGCAATTGTAATTAAGTTAGGTATTAAGTCTTGGTTTGGTGATAGTGGGGCTTGAGTGACTTCTGTTTTCTCTCTCTCTTTAAAATTTATTTTATTTCAGGGAGGAAGGGAAAGGGAGAGAGAGGTAGAAACATAGTAACGAAAGAGAATCATTGATCGGCTGCCTTCTGCATGTCCCCCATTGGGGACTGAGCCCATAACCTGGACATGTGCCCTGACTGGGAATCAAACCATGAGCTCCTGATTCTTAAGTCGACAGTCAACCACTGAACCACACAGGCCAGGCTGTTTTCTCTTTTTTTAACAGAAGGAACTTGCAGTGGAAGGAAAACATGGATAATGCATTTTCTTTCCCCTAGTTCCTTGGAGTAGTAGAGCCCTCAGAGTGCTTTGATAGCCACCTGTTGCTTAATTGAGTGGAACCATGATTAATCTGACCCCAACAACCCTTCTCTTAAGTAGTTTGTCCAATGAACATCAAATAACAACCAATCAGCAGAGAGCACATGGAGTAATTGGTGGGTTTGTTCTTTTACCAAAAACATTTATAGCTTTTAAAAATAGTTCTGGAGCACAGCAAGATAGAGAAGGGGAAATTGGCCTAGATAATACAGAGGATAGCAGATGAATAGGTTTGATTTCATTTTGGGCACTTCGCCCAGGACACTTTTAATAGAACATATTATAGTTACTCTAGGGATTCTGAGTCTGTGGTTATGTCAGGCTTACACATTTATTCTTTAAAAGGAAAAATTGCAAGTTAATAGACTCTAGGTATATTGGCATGACTTAAAATTTTAAAACCATTATTATAATCCAGCCATTGACAATTTGCTGTGTGTGTGGGCTGAATTCCTTAATATTAAAACCAACTTAATCATGGATAGAAAAATATTTTGAACTTCCTTCCTCTAAAACACAATGTGTTCTGTATTTCTTTCAAAGTTTAAATCAACTTTAGAACGATGTCTAAACTAGGGATTAAAAGTTATTTTTATGTGAAGAATTTTTAATCTTACTATTTTTAAGGGCATTTTTTAAATACTCGGGGACGAATCAAGTCTTTAAGGGGGAAAATGTACCTAAATTTTAGAAATATTATATTTCCTATTTTACTACCTTACAAATTTAGAATTACTGACCTTGGATTTAGCTGTATAACTTAAAAAGGAAAAATACTGACGGTAATAGAGTTTTACATAGGATTTACACTATTTAGATGGATTCAAAAAATTAAAACATACACAAAATTTGTTTAATCAGCAGTTAGTCTTTTTAAGTTTTCTAATAAAACTAAGTTATTATTACATCCTTGGGACATGTGTTAGACAGTAGAAAATAAAATGTTTCTAATACATTGAGATCATATGTGATATTTAGCAACTGCCTTTCTACTCATTAAACTACATTTTGTGTTCTTTTACAGTTCAAGCGATATGTCAGCAAACTTCGAAGCAAGAGTACAGTTTTCAAAAAGAAGCATCAGATAATAGCTGAATTTAAAGCTGAGTTCGGTCTCTTACAGAGGACAGAAGAACTCCTTAAACAACGTCTTGAAAATATTCAGCATCAACTGGTAATACAGTATTATCTTGGGGTGCTAAAATTACAAATGCCAGGAGGTTTATGGGTTATAGCTCTATGGTTTTTAATAGAAAAACCATACAATTATTGTTTTTTCTGATTAATTGCAGAGATGTCATATAAGCTGATTCATTTATGTTTAATGTAGCAGGAAGCAGTCTTTTCTGTGTGTTTTTTTACCCCTCCCTCCCAGGAAGCACTCTTATGCTTGCTGACTTTGGGGTAATTAATAGCCTATGGATGTCCTGCAATATAATAACTCTTTTCTTTGCCTGTTTGTCCACTGGCATGAGGAGCCCAAGTGACAGTATGGTAGCCAGAGCATGAAGTGTAGAGGGTCCCTTCATGTGCCTTCTGGTGGAAGCACACTCAGCTCTGGAAGCCAGAGAAGGGAAGTGTAGCTCCTTAAGTGGATAAGTGGGAAGCCCAGTGAGTGGTAACCCTCATACTTTCAAGACCTATGTGTTCAGTCTGTTTGGAACACAGCTCCTGTGGTGTACACGCCATCCTGAAGACTAGAACTCATCCCCACAAGCCACCAGTTCCAATCTGGCCACTTAGCTGTCCCTTCACAAGGTCCTTCCTCTGTTCTGTCAGGTCATTTGCTCGCTGGATGGTGTGGTGTGTGGTACAGTGACTGAATCCCAAGATCATGTGCCCACCACCACACCTCCTTTGCCGTAAATTAGGTCTCTTGGACTGAGGGGATATATGTGGGATTCCACATCAGTAGACTAGATACTCTGAGCCCTTGGATAGTGGTGCTGGCTGGATGACTGTTGGCAAAAAAAGCAAACCCTCACCGAGAACATGGATCAATGCCAGTCAGGATGAAATGTCTTTTCAGAGCAGGAAGGATCTGATGTTATCATATTGCCACTAAGTAGATGATTCGTTTCCTCAAGGGATGATTCCATACCCAGAGCTCAGGACTGATCTCTGTTGCTGCCGGGTCAGATGTGTGGCAGTGGCAGCAGCAATGGCTAGACGGGCATTAGTCAGAGAGAACCCATGCTATTTTGCCCATGGGGGGCCTCCATCTTTGCCAACATAGCCATTCTGTTCTTGAGCCCATTATCCAAGCACTGGGCGGTCGGTGACAGAGGCTGGGTGACATTAGAAATTGGCAGTTTCAATTCTGGCTCAGGCGAGTATGGAAAACTGATTGATGTTTCACTCACTCACTCTCTCCTTTCCTTCCTCTAAGATTAATTTTTTTTTTTAATTTCTTTATCTGAACCCTCCAACAAGTCTCCCATGTCATTTAAAATAAGTCCAAGTTCTTTCATTGGCCTAAAAATAAGGTAACAGTATAATTTATCATCTAAACTAGGACAATTTTGAGAATGCAAAGGACAATAGACAGAGACTGAGATTGTCCCAGCACACCAACTGAGACCTCTATGATCCATCCCCCACCCCACGGCATTCTATTTTCAGCTCCCCCAGTCTCCCAGCTATTTCGTGAACAGGCCAGGCATGTTCCTGCCTCATGTCTTGTGCACTTGCTGGTCTCCTAGGTGTCTACGTGGCTTGCTTCCCCATTTCCTTCAGGGCTTTCTCAGATGTCACCTTTTACTTATGATTTCAACTCCACTCTCACCTCACATTTTGTTTTACTTGTTTACATATTGCTTGTTTACTCTCACTAGAAGTAAACTCTGTGGGCAAGGGGATTTTCCCCCCTGTTTTGTTCACTGCCTAGAACTGTGCTGGGACATTTAGGTATAAAACAAATATTGGATGAGTGAGCAAATGTAAATATAATTGGACACTTGAGAATTCACTCATTCATCAAATATTTATTAAATGTGTCCTGTTTTACAATATATTCTGTGCAAAGTATATAGCACTATTTTATTTATTTTTTTCTTCTTCATTTTTTTATTAAGGTATTATATGTGTACATATCTTACCATTGCCCCCCTTCCACTCTCATATATGCCCTCCCTCCCCAGAGTTTGGTGTCCATTGGTTATGCTTATATACATGCATACAAGTCCTTCAGTTGATCTCTTATTTCCCCCATATCTCCCTACCCTCCCCGCTGTAATTTGACAGTCTGCTTGTTGCCTTACTGTCTCTGTATCTATCTTTTTTCCATCAACTTATAATGTTCTTTATTATCCATAAATGAGGGAGATAATGTGGTATTTTTCTTTCATTGACTGGCTTATTTCACTCAGTATAATGTTCTCCAATTCCATCTAGGTCGCTGCAAATGATAAGAATTCCTTCTTTTTATGGCAGCGTAGTATTCCATTGTGTAGATGTACCATAGTTTTTTGATCCAATCACTGCTGATGGGCACCTAGGCTGTTTCCAAATCCTAGCTATTGTAGATTGTGCTGCTATGAACAAAGGGGTGCATATATCCTTTTTGATTGTTTTTTTTAGTTTCTTAGGATATATTCCTAAGAGTGGAATCACTGGGTCAAATGGGAGTTCCATTTTCAGTTTTCTGAGGAAACTCCATACTGTTTTCCACAGTGGTTGAACCAGTCTGCATTCCCACCAGCAGTGCACAAGGGTTCCTTTTTCTCTGCATTCTCATCAACACTTGTTGTTTGTTGATTTGTTGATGATAGCCATTCTGACAGGTATGAGATGGTATTGCATTTTCGTTTTGATTTGCATCTCTCGGATAATTAGTAACTTTGGGCATGTTTTCATATAGCACTATTTTAAAGTCTAAGATTAGAACTGCTTCCTAATTACCTGAAGATAGTAAAGTTTAGTGTAATTTTATAACATATAAAGAGATGTTATTATTGTTGAAGTCAATAAAGATTATCCTATAGGATTCTAAACTAATTTATTTCATTTATAACTTTAATATTATATATTAAAAATGTATACTTCTTACGGAGTCATTGAGGTTTTGACATCAAATTTGTGGCCCCATTTTTAAAAAATATATGTTTATTGATATCAGAAAGAAAGGGAGAGGAAGAGATAGAAATATCAGTAATGAGAGAGAATGATTGATCGGCTGCCTCCTGCACCATTGGGGATTGAGCCCGCAACACATGCATATGCCCTGATCTGGAATCAAACCTATTGGTTCATAGGTTGACCTCTATTTATTCTTTACTTTTAGCAAACCATTGAGGAGAAAAAGGGAATATCTGGATATAGTTACACCCAAGAAGAGCTGGAGAGAGTGTCTGCACTGAAGAGTGAGGTTGACGAAATGAAAGGACGGACCCTGGATGACATGTCTGAAATGGTGAGTACACATTTTTAGTGTTTTTTTATTGGGTATAGAAGGCAGATATTTTTGTTTGTCTAGTTTTCAGTGAAACATTCAGATTTTCATTTCTGCATATTATTTACATTTTTATCTGTATCAGTCTCTTGAATTTTTGCGTTCTAGTAAGGTTGTTCAACTTATAACAATTTATGCATTTGGTGGTTTTTGAAGTGTGTGAAAGTTATACAAAATTAAGGAAATATTTAAGATAAACAATAAGTTTTCCCTATCATATCACCCTAATAAAATTATTTCGCTTTTGTGTGTGTCCTTAGTATCTTTCCATATTTAGGACTGCTCTTTAGCCAGAATGTACTGATACAGCCTCATGAGGCATTCGAATGTTTAACACTTTCCTTACTTACTGGTAAATAGCTGCTGCCCCAAACTCTCAGCCTGTCTTATCCACATTGGCCACTTGCCCAGAACCCCAGCATCTCACCACAAGCTGACTCATAAAAAGATTTTGTCCTTACCGGTTTGGCTCAGAGGATAGAATGTCGGCCTGTGAAGGGTCCCAGGTTCAATTCCGGTAAGGGCACATACCTCGGTTGCAGGCTCAATCCCTGCCCTGGTCGAGGTGCATGCAGGAGGCAACCAATTGATGTGTCCCTCTCATATCAATGTTTCTCTCTCTTTATGTCTCTCTTTTTCCCTTCCACTCTCTAAAATATATCCTCGGGTGAGGATTAATAACAACAAAAAAAGATTAACATTGAGCACCGTAGAGGCCTGCTAGATTGCCTTCATCTCTATGGCTAGTGTCCATTGTGATTGGTTATTACTTATGCCATTCGGGTTATTAAGTATTTTGAATATCACTTCATTTATGTTTATGTATATTTTATATAACCTGCGTAATTACATATTGTTTTACATAACAACATGATTGTAGTTGTATATAGGCAACTTTTAGTTTGTCTTAGTCATTACTTGTTAGATTGTAAATATTTTGCCATATTGGTTTGCAGTGTTAATAACTGACATTTTGAACAATTCAGTGGCATCCTCTCTTATGGGGGAATCAAGATTTACCAAATCTCTTCCCTATTGTTTGGCATTGAAGTAATTTATAATCTTTTTACTCATATATAACACTTCAATAAATATATTTATGCATGTAGTATTTTTGTTCTTTTGAATTCTTTTTTAAGATGTCATGTATTTTTTTTTTAAATGGCAGGTAAGAAAACTGAATTCACTGGTATCTGAAAAGAAGTCGGCTCTAGCCCCAGTTATAAAAGAACTGCGACAACTGCGTCAAAAATGTCAAGTAGGTGAATTTGATATTGTGTTACTGTACGATTTTATCTGGTTGAGATATAGTAATTAGAATCCTGAATATTTTACTTGGGTAATTTATGGGAAACACATTATTGTTATTATTACTATTATATTGATATGATTCTGCAAAAGAGAAGAATGTGACCTGAATAGGTTTATTTTTAATTTATGCTACTTGGTTTGTCATAAATTATTAGAGGGAGGAGAGAAGGAGAAAAAGGAGTTTAAGCTAAAATCACAAGTGCATCCAGGTGAGCTTTTTTTTTTAAATCATGTGAAAGCTGTAAATATGAAGCACTTTCTTCTGTGGCCAGGTAGAAGCTCAAAGTCAGCCCACATGTGGTGACAAGTAAACTTAAATCAATAAACTTTGCGGGGGGGCAAATTCTGATAGCTTATGATAAGTGAGGAAATGCCATTACTTGGAAGCTAATTCTAACCACTGCTTTAAAAGATAAACTATTAGGAGGTAAATGCCCTTCACAAAGCCAGGTCAGGTGGCCCATACCATTCAACATGAGCGGCAGTTAATCACCCTCCCTGTAGTGATTTTAGGTTTGAATGAGGGCCTGTATTGCACGTGCCTGAGATGGAACCATAAAACTCTTGGCAAGTGCCATCCCTCAGAGAAGCAGAATGAAAAATCACACAGATTTGGCCCTAGCAGATTTGTCTCAGTGGATAGATCATCAGCCTTCGGACTGAAGGGTCCTGGGTCTGATTCTGACCAAGGGCACATGGCCAGATTGTGGACTCAGTCCCCAGTGAGGGGCGTGCAGGAGGCAGCTGATCAGTGATTCTCTCTCACCATTGATGTTTCTATCTCTCTCCCTCTCCCTTCCTCTCTGAAATCAATAAAGATATTTTTTTTAAAAGAAAAGAAAAGCCAAAACCAGTTTGGTTCAGTGGATAGAATGTTGGCCTGTGGACTGAAGGGTCCCAGGTTCAATTCCGGTCAAGGGCATGTACCTTGGTTGCGGGCACATCCACGGTGGGGAGTGTGCGGGAGGCAGCTGGTCGATGTTTCTAACTATCTATCTCCCTTCCTCTCTGTAAAAAAATTAATAAGATAAATTTTTAAAAAGAAAGAAAGAAAGGAAGGCAGGAAAGAAGGAAGGAAGAAAATCACATAGATTCGGAAGTCAGATAGACATCATTTTCTCTTTATGAAACTACTACAGAGCCTGAGATAGGTTTAGTGACCTATCCAACTCAGGAGGAGGAAGTGGGGAGAGTAGGGGAGACTTTGGCTTCTATATCATCTTATTTCAAAACCCTTGTTTGTTCCACTACATACTACTGCCATGCCAAAAGGAATAGAAGAGACAGGTCTCTGTTCTCTGGAGTTGATGCTCTAATAGATGAGATGGGAGAAATACCATCTAATCCTACCTAATAAAGAGGAAATATGCTAATTGACCCTCATGCCATCACAAAGATGGCAGTGCCTACAGCCAATAAGGAGAGAATATGCTAATTGACTGTCACACCCTCAAAGATGGTGGCACCCACAGCCATAGGATGGCAGTGCCCAGTCCCCTCAGACCCACTGGGTGGCAGGCAGGCAGCAAGGCTGGGCTTACCCCCAGGCAGGCCCAGCAGCTCCGCGCACCTGCCTCTGGAGTCCCCTAGTCCCCTCAGCCACCCAAGGTCGGCTCCTTGAGTGTGTCACTTATGGATATGAAGAGTTGTAATCTGGTATGGTCTCACACTGACCACTAGGTACACTGGCTCTTGGGTATTTTTTCTTTTTTTTTTAAATATATTTTATTGATTTTTTACAGAGAGGAAGAGAGAGGGATAGAGAGTTAGAAACATCGATGAGAGAGAATCATCGATCAGCTGCCTCTTGCACATCCCCTACTGGGGATGTGCCCACAACCAAGGTACATGCTCTTGACCGGAATCAAACCCGGGACCTTTCAGTCCGCAGTCCGATGCTCTAGTCCACATGTGTCAAACACAAGGCCCGCGGGCCAAATCCGTCCCGCCAGGCCTTGCAATGTGGCTCGCACCACGCTGTCATCACTGCACTCTGCTGCGTTTCCATCACAATGACAGTTTATGACTGTTCAGTAAACCATTCGGCCCGCGATTTAGGCTGGATTTTAGATTTTGGCCCCTTCTCTGATTGAGTTCGACACCCCTACTCTAGTCTATCCATTGAGCCAAACCGGTTTCGGCTGGCTCTTGGGTCTTGAAGGAGGTGCAAAGTCAGCCACTACCTGTGGCCACCCAGCAGGAGCTACAGAGAGATCTGTAGATTCCTCTTCTTTGTATCAAGTTTAGAAGTGTCCGTGCAAGGCCCATCTGTGAAGCAAGGCAGGCTGGTGTGGGCCTTGGACCTTTTATTTATAGCTTTGAGGCTCCCTGACCTAGACGCAGCTAGTTTAACAGGTTTTAGGCTGAGAAAGGACAGGCCATTCATATGCAAAAGCCTGGGTGGGGTTTTAATTGGGTGGGGTGGGGTCTCAAGGAATTACCATGGCAGAGCAAACAGAAATGGCTGCCAATCAGCTCTATACCAGAGAGGTCCCAGCAAGGGAACAATGACCTCTGTGAGCACCTGCGTCTGGAAGAAAGCCACCTCCAAGTTCCTGCCCTGATGCCAGACAGTTCAGTTTCTCCCCGTATGTGTCTGGGTCCCCCAGCGCCTCGCATAGCACTGGAGCTCAGAGAAGTTTGTAAATTCAGTTCACAGTGCTGGCCTTTGAAGAGGAGCAACTGGGTCTCCAGCAGCCTATGTGTCACTCAGCCCCAATCCACACTGGTTTGGATTTTTCCCCCCAGCTCTGGAACCCTGGGCTGGGGGTCTGATGTAGGGCTGGGACCTCTTGTTCCTCCACTCCCGATTCAAAAAGTGGCATACCAGGGTGCCGGGCCGGACCAGCCCATTCCACGCTCCACACCTCCTACCATCTCAGTGTGTTTTCTTCTTCTCCTCCGTAGTTGTAGTACTTCCACTCAGCCAGCTTTCCCGCGGTTCTGGATGATAGTTCCGTATTTTAGTTGTAATTTTGATGTGACTGTGGGAGGCAGCAAGTGAAGCATTTACCTATGTCACCATCTTGGTTCCTCCTCGAGGTTTTGTCTCGAATCCTGGCAGCTGGGAGTGAGGGTGTGTCCCTCAGACTGGTTTTGTGGTCGTTCTGCCAGGTGTTTTGGGAGGATCACAAACTGGGAGTTAATTTCGAGTTAATGTCTCAGCATGGGAATTCTTAGACCATGAAAGTAGAGTCAATTCAAACCCCACACCTGCCTGGCCTTTTCCCATCCACCTCTGCAGCAGCACAGCCGAATTTACTGATCAGCAGACTCACAGGCAAAACAAAGGCTTTCTTCTCCTAAAGTATCTTCATCTCATCCGAAGGCCACAGCAGCTGCCTGAGTACACAGCTTCTGTCGCCCCTTGTTCTGTGAGAGTGGGTATGACTGTGACCCATGAGAGTCTTTGGCGTCTGTAGGTCACTTCAATACATAAAAGCTATAGCTCCTTTTCCCACCAGTCTTTTATACTTTGTTAGTCACCCTAAACTAGATGCAGTCCCACCCAACAAAGGAAGCACACACAACAGAAATGATCACTTATCATTTCCTCACTTACCATTTTTGTTAACTCGCCTGTTCCCAAGGAAACTGCAGTGTGAAACCAAGGTCATTCTGAAGCTGGCTACATCATTCCAGGCCTGGGATTAACCTTTTTCTCATGGGTCTCCGGGTTGAAAAACAGTTTGGAGCCCTAGCATGTTTGGCACAGTGGATAGAGCTTCAGCCTGCGTACTGAGGGTTCCAGGTTCGATGCCTGGGTTGTGGGCTCTATCCCCAGTAGGGGGTATGCAGGAAGCAGCCAATCCATGATTCTCTCTCATCATTGATATTTCTATCTCTCTATCCTCCCTTCCTCTCTGAAATCAATAAAAATATATATTAAAAAACAACAATAATAATTTGGATTTACTATGGGATTCTCAGTTTTAACTCCGCATTCTGCACAGGCCTAGGACTTTGTCCGCTGCCCTGCCTGGACATTATAGTCACTTTTGTTACCACGACTGACTATTCCCAGCTCCCTTCACCAAGGGTAGCTCCTGGGTGTCATCTTCTGTTTCTGGCCTGGTAATTCCCCGTAGTTCCTTGAGAGTTCCATTCAACTCTGGATTTGAAAGGATGTTTACTCTACCTTATCAAGCATTTATACTTTTAACATTTCTAGGTGTTTGTAGTATATTTTCAGGTTGTCTAATTCAAAATACTGCATTAGAAGAAATTTGAAACTATTCAAACAGCCTGAGTGCAAATTCTGACACCTCCCCAGCAATATAATCTTTGGCCAGATACTTAGCCCCCCTGAACTTTCTGCAGGCATCGACATGAGATTAACACCTCAAGGACTTGCTGTGAGATTGCATTATTATCAAGGATAAAGCTCAAATACCTTAACATGGTTTACAGAGTTCTGAACAGAGCCCTGCCAAAGACTTCAGCCTGTTTTCACACTTCCCAGACACACTCCATTATAATAAATTACATGCACATCCTAAATGGTTCCCCTTTCTAGCTCCTCAGCCTTTAGGGATAGTGTTCCTTTTTTCTGAATCTTCTCCTCCCCTGTCCACCCTCCTGTAACTATGCTTACTAATCCTTCATACCTCAATTTAGATATCCATTTCTCTAGGAAGTTGTCCCCACTGATTCCCAAGCCTGGATTAGGTCTACTGAGAGTCCCAGGTCACCTATGACATCTTGCATTTGCCCATCGTAGCACTCAACAGCCTGTATACTTGTCGAAACATTACTTGAGGGAATATTTTTTGGCTATTTTGTTCACTGTTGTGTCCCTAGCTCCTAACAAAGCCTGGCACTCGGCTCAGTACATGGTAGCTGTTGTGTTTATCAGCACCTCCATCTGTCATAATTCTCAAATGTCTAATTGTTGTATAAATAACCCTTAAGTATGCCAAGAAGCTTAGAGTTCAGTTACGAGACTAACAAGGGCATGCATTGTGTCAGAGCTACATTTCAGGCCTTTGATTTTCACTTGCTCAGTCATTTACCCTTTTTGCACTAGGAACTAACCCAGGAGTGTGATGAAAAGAAATCGCAGTATGATAGCTGTGCAGCAGGCCTCGAAAGCAATCGGTCCAAATTGGAACAGGTAAGAAAACAGTTTTTAGTTGAAGAATAGCAAACACTGTCTGTGTGTGTATATTTTCACCATACCAGTGTCAAAAGATTCCCGAGTCTTTTCCCTCATCTCCTGAGTCTGTCTCCTGGTTTCCAGAGATCTTTATTTCTTCAGACTTGGTTTGTGCACCCTGAACTCTCCATCTGCACCACTACCCCCACATCCAGGCCCCCATCCTGTCTTCCTAGACACCCCAGTAACCCAGCGCCTGCTCTCCCAGTTCCACGCCTGCCTTCCTATGGTTTGTTCAGAGAGCATCCAAAGAGACCAGAGTAAAACGTAGGCCACCCGCTAGTGTCTTCCTGTTGCACTTAAAACCCAACTTCCAAACTGTGGTCTCCAAGACCCCACCTGCCTCGGGAACTTCACATCCTTGTGCTCTGCTCCTCCGAGGGGATCCAGCCACATGGGCAGTCTACTTGTTCTGCAAACACCCGGCTTCTGCACACGCTCTTCTCTCTTTGCATCCCTCCGCCCCCATCTCTTTGCTTTGATCACTTTTTTCATCATCCCAGTTTCACCTAAATATCACCTCCTTCTAGAGATCTCCCCTGGTCACCCAATCTAACTTTGCCTGCTGTCACCCTGTCACATTCTGCTGAATTTTCTTTATCATGTTCATCCCCATCAAAAACGACCTTCATTGTGAATGTGAGTGCAATGTATTTTCTCATTGATACCTCTTTGCATTGCCCATATCCAGCAATTACCAGACAATGAAATATTCCTAATATGTATCTGATTGTAATAGTTTCTCCTTACAAAATGGCAATTGTAGTTGGTAAGGGTAAAACAAGTTGAGTTCAATGCTGCTAAATTTGAGATAAGTGAAATTTTCTAAAGGTCTCAGGTAACTTACTGAAATCTCTGAGATAGAATATAATTGTGTTTTCTAAATTGTTCTTATTCAATTGATGTGTAATTCAAAATAAAGGTCTATTTTTGGTTTTTAAAAGTTAAAAACAAACAAACAAACAAACAAACAAACAAAAAAACAATCTTCATTATGTGCCTTCTTGTTTTATCTGTTTCTTCTTCTTCAATGAGAGCAGGGACTTATTTGTCTGTTCAGTGCTGTGTCCCAGCACCTGACACACAGCTGGGCACACAGTAGGTATGTAAGAAATGAATAACTGAACGTGCAGTGTTAGGATCCTATCAGTTGTCTCTAGAAAAGATTGTAGCCTTGTCTGTTACAGTAAACAGTGTTACCGTTGCAAAAGAGGAACTGACAGATGGCATTTCTTTTGTTGTGCATTCAGTCATCCTCTCTGCACCCAAAAGTGTTTTCAGTAATGGTGGCCATTTAAAATTACGTGTTTGTTGTAGGAAGTCAGAGGACTCCGTGAAGAATGTCTTCAAGAAGAAAGTAAATACCATTATACAAATTGCATGATTAAGGTGAGACAAAGAAAGGAAATTACAAACTTTCTTGAGGTTTTTCTGTATCTAAAACTTAGTCTTTCTACTTAGAACCTGGAAGTTCAACTTCATCGCGCTGTTGATGAGATGAAGGCATATGTCTCTTCCGACCAACAAGAAAAAAGAAAAGCTATTAGGCAAGTAATTTTGTTGTTTTTTATATTGAGCTACATAATATTTCACCTATAGAAGTTTTATAAATATAGTGGAACCTCAGTTCTTGAACTTAATTTGTTTCGGAAAGCTGTTCGAAAAACTATTTGCTTGAAAACTGAATCATTTTCCCCCATTAGAAATAATGTAAATTGAATTTATCCATTCCAGTTCCCCAAATTATTCCCTGTTTTAACCTTCCTTTTATACAGTACACGTCTAATGTACTATTTAATCTATAAATAAACTCTTCTTAAATTTATGGAATCAACTCCTACTAGCCTTAAAAGAATTTTTCATATATCACTGCCTCCCAGATGCTATCCATCACCTGCTAACTGCTTTTCCTTTATCCAATTAAAAACAGGTTTTCTACCTATTCATTCGTCTGTGATTGTTGTTCTCTGAGCACTTTGTTAGCACTCTTGACAGCCGCTTTATGTTTTAAAATTGTGCTAATCTTGGATTTCTGCCAGCAACAAAAGCATTCTATCCTATATTTATTACCTAGAGATGCTTTTTGTCATGCTGAGGTATAGCATGAAAAGGTTGTCAGGTTGAAAGCTGAAGTTTTAGTCTGACAACTGAGACATTTTTTTCCTGTGATAACTGAATTGTTCACAATGGGAGACATTTAAGAAACGAGGTTTGACTGTAAAATGGAGTTATGAAATTTGTAGTACTTAAATAAATAGATAATAAGATATTATAAAGGTTTATTTCTTGTTAAACATCTTTTGGATAGTCTAGCCCTATTAACTAAGTAGGAATATGTTTAATTTCCTTTCTTGCTTGCTTACTTTTTTTTGTTGTCATAAAAGATATAGATGATAAAATTTGTCATTGTAACCATTTTAAGTATACAATTCAGTTGCATTGATTACATCCACATTGTTGTGCAGTCATCACTATATATTACCAAAACTTACATCACCATAGACTCATAGACCCATAAACTCTTGTAATCATTAATAATTCCCCAATAGCCCTAGCTGGTTTGGTCAGTGGATAGAGTGTTGGCCTGCGGACCAAGGGTCCCAGGTTCAATTCCAGTCAAAGGCACATGTCCAGGGTTGTAGGCTAGATCCCTCTCTCTCTCATCATTGATGTTTCTATCTCTTTTTCCCTCTCTTTTCCTCTCTGAAATCAATAAAAATATATTTTAAAAACTAATTCCCCATTAATAATTCTCCCTTGTGAGGAATACATATACTTTGATAGTTGTGGGTGTTTTTTTTTAATAAGCACTAAGGTTTGTCTGTTTTTAAAGTCCCCCGTGGCTTGGACTCTAGTCTGCCTGCTAATTGTGCAGTGTAAGTGATGCAGTGTGCCCGCCTTCAGAACAAGGAAGCGGTGCCAGTACCACTACTCCTTATATGGTGATTCTTTTGGTAATCATAGCTTGCAGCGTACTGTAATAAATCAAATGCTGCCTTACAAATACATTAATAGTTGAATTGCTAGCTGAGATAAAATACAGTAATTGAACAAGATACACTTTCTTTGCCCCTTAGCGCACTTTAGATGCTTTGCTTTTATCATCCAGGAAGAACTCAAAGTGTAGGATTCATATTTATTTTAGATTGCAGTTGAGATTTCTAGTGGCATGTACATTAATGTTATAGGAAGGAATCTAAGACCGAGAATGTCTTGGCAGAGTCTACATTTTTTAATATATAATGTACTGGAATGCAAGCTAGACTGAAGATATCCTATAAATAGAATTTTTTTCTAATACTCTAAAGTAGGGGTGTCGAACTCAATCAGAGAAGGGACCAAAATCTAAAACCAAAAGCCTAAATCGCAGGCCGAATGGTTTACTGAACAGTCATAAACTGTCACTGTGATGGAAACGCAGCGGAGTGCAGTGATGACAGCGCGGTGCGGGCCACATTGCAAGGCCTGGCGGGACGGATTTGGCCCGAGGGCCTTGTGTTTGACACATGTGCTCTAAAGACTGAACACAAAGATTCCAATAAAACATCCGGGGGCTCAGACTTGTTTGGAGAAGTCAAGGCAGAGGCTGCCACCTTCCACAAGGTCCCCCTAGAAGCCCCCTGACCTCTTGGAGACTCCTCCTTTCAGACTTTCCAACCAAGTCCCGTGCTTCCCCACATACTCAACCACTGAGCCACACCTACTGGGTCTGTTTGCTTCTTGAAGGCCAAGAGCATGCTTCGTACATAAACAGGTGCTGCATAATTATCTCTCAAATAAATTAAAATTATGGATTAATGTCATTGGAAAAGAGTATGAGCCTGTTGAATTCCTGATAAACTATCAATGGAAATTCTAAAACAATCGGGACATTTCTCAGGCCTAGGGTAATAAATGAAATATTTAAAGCAATTTGAACTAGAACTGTAGATTCTTCTTAAACTAGTATGTCATTTACATCTTCCTGGCTGTTATTTCACTGGAGAGCTGGAAAGGCAAACAGTTTGACATAGTATCTCATAAATAATTCTAAGAGCAAAATGAAGGCCCATCAAGATTGTGTTTATTCCCTCACTCCTGTGTGCAAATTCTACCTTCACTTCAGCTCTGTAAGCACATGGGGTGCTTTTGACTGCCATTGTTTCTATTCTAATCACATTCACCTCCCTTTTTGCAGAAATGCGAATCTTCCTTCACCTAGACTGCTAGGGTTTCTCTTGTGGTCTGTGATTTCTTAGATTCTCAGTTTTGTGTTGTCTAATTTCTTCGTAAATACCTACTATAGTGTAGTTCACACAGAAACCTAGTCTTTTTTCCATCTAAATTTGAGGTCAAAAATCTCTCTTCATCCTTTAAACCTTGGTCCTTAACAGTTTAAATCTACTTTTTGTCCTACGTGGTATTAAGATATAATTATACTTTTGTGCCGAAACCGGTTTGGCTCAGTGGTGGAGCGTTGGCCTGTGGACTGAAAGGTCCCAGGTTCGATTCCGGTCAAGGGCATGTACCTTGGTTGCGGGCACATCCCCGGTGGGGAGTGTGCAAGAGGCAGCTGGTCGATGTTTCTCTCTCATCGACATTTCTAGCTCTCTATCTCTCTCCCTTCCTCTCTGTAAAAAAATCAATAAAATATATTTTAAAAAAATAATAATAATAATTATACTTTTGTTAAAAAATGTAATACAAATTTATTTTGTATTTTTATTTTTACATTAAAATTTTGCAGTTTTTGTTGGATTACAAAAGAAATACAAAAAGTAACCATTATGAAATATAGTACACAAAAATGGAATGTTGTTCACATTGCCATGCCTCAGAAATGTCTAATGTTAATATTTTGATGTACATTATTCCATATTCTTTTCCCATGCATTTGCTAGTGTGTGTGTGTGTGTGTGTGTGTGTGTGTGTGTATGCTAGCAAGTGCATGGGAAATGTTTTTATGTGTATATAAAAATAAAATTAAACTACACATACAGTTTTTCTCTTCATAGTTTATCTAGAATTCTTTCCACTTTGGTATTTATAGAGCTACCTCATTCTTTTTTATAGCCCTCTATTATTCCTTTAAACGGAGTTCTATAATTATTTAAACATTCCTCCATCTATCAGCTTTAGTTTGTTTGCAGATTTTCACTGTTATAAACAGTGGTGAAGTAAATGGTTTTTGTTTTTATCTTTATCTTATGAGAGTTTTTCTGTAGGATGACTTTCTAGAATTGGAATTTCAGGGTTAGATACTATCTGGTGTTTATTTTAATATGTATCCTTTCTCCCTTTTGCAAACCTCCTCAAAAGCAAAGTAACTTAAGCAAATGTCTTGCCATTGTTTTAAGGGTAGATTAGCCAGAAATAGTACTTAATATTTTAATTCTCTTAATTTTATGCAATGCTTTGTCTTTTTCCCCCCCCCTACTGTTTACTTCTAAAAACTAAGGATGAGGAAAGAAATTATTTGACAATGGGTTTTCTTCTAACTCTAGTAATCTAAATTACATTGTTTAATATATTTAAGTAGATATGTTAATGTTTTATGTATCAATTGAAGTTAAATTATTACGTTGACTCTCTAGGGAACAGTATACCAAAAATATTGCTGAACAAGAAAATCTTGGAAAGGTAAGAATTTATTATTTATTTTATTTACTGATTTATTTTTAATATATTTTTATTGATTTCAGAGAGAGAGAGAGAGAGAGAGAGAGAGAGAGAGAGAGAGAGAGAGAGGGAGGAAGAAAGAAACATCAATGATAAGAGAGAATCATTGATCAGCTGCCTCCTGCATGCCCTACACTGTAACCCGGGTATATGCACTTGGCTGGAATAGAACCTGGGACCCTTCAGTCAACCAATGCTCTATCCACTGAGCCAAACCAGCTAGGGCTATTTTTTAAAAATGTGTCTAATTCAGGTTTTCAGTACATGGTTATGATGGTCATGACATTGTCATTAATTTTAAAAAGATTTCATACTGTTTTCCTTTTGTTCATCCTCACTGGAGGATATTCTGCCATTGATTTCTAGAGAGAGTGGGAGGAAGGGGAAGAGACGCATCAGGGTGACAGAGACATATCAATTGGTTGTCTCCTGCACAAGCCCTGGTCAGGCCGAGGACCCAACCCACAAACTTTGATGGTACTCAAACCAGGGACCCCTCAGTCCTCAGGCCAAAGCCCCATCCACTGAGCCAAACCAGCCCGGGCTTTAGTACAGTTTTCAAAGGGAAATAGGCTCCTTCTTACGCCTTTTCAAAGATGCAGACACTTTTTTGGGAATTTAGTTTTATAAAAGTGCCAGGTATTGTGTCACAGCCCTAGCTAGTGTGGCTCAGTTGGTTAGAGCATCATCCGTAGACTGAAAGGTTGTGGGTTAATTTCCTGGTCAGGGCATATACCCAGGTTGTGTGTTTGATCCCCGATCAGGCATGTGTGGAAGGCAACCAATCAATGTATCTCTCTCATCTCTCATCTCTCTCTCTCTCTCTCTCTCTCTCTCTCTCTCTCTCTCTCTCTCTCTCTTTCTCTCTCCCCCCCCCCCGCTTCATTCCTCCCTCCCTTCTTCTCTTCCTCCCTCCTTCTTCTCTCTTCCCTCTCCCTCTCCCTCTCTTCCACTCTCTAGAATCAATGGAAAAAATACCCTCAGGTGAGGAATATCAAAAAAATAATTAATTAATTATATATGAAAGTCAGTTGCATTCATAAGTTAACCGTTTCAAATACATGTAGGTGTGCCGAAATCGGTTTGGCTCAGTGGATAGAGCGTCAGTCTGCAGACTGAAAGGTCCCGGGTTCGATTCCGGTCAAGAGCATGTACATTGGTTGCGGGCACATCCCCGGTGGGGGGGGTGCAGGAGGCAGCTAGTCGATGTATCTCTCTCATCGATGTTTCTAGCTCTCTATCCCTCTCCCTTCCTCTCTGTGAAAAATCAATAAAATATATTTTTAAAAAATACATGTAGGTGTGAGGCAAACTAAATTTAATATTTCTGATACAGTACCCACATCCTGTCTTTGGTTCTTTAAATAACTTTTATAGATTGTTAGGATTTTGACAAGGAAATTATTCCAGTAATTTAAGAAAAGTTACAGTTTAAGTAGCAACTTAATCTTAAAATCATGCTCAGAACTTTTAAAATTCTTTATCTCTTTTTGTTTTAGTTTATGAGAATAAAAATATTTTTTGTAAGATACTTTATTTGTAGCATAGACTTAAGTAGGTGTAGTTACATGCCAGGTATTGTGTCAAAAATTTGCTGGCTATATTTAAATTATATTTTCTTAATTCTGTTTTGTTTCCTATTGAAAAGGAAACTTTTCTGCTTGCTATTTATTACATTTGCTTTCATTAGCCATAGCTGAGAGGGCAGTTTTTAGTGAGTGGTTTGAATCTGGTCCTCAGCTTAGTTTAGCCTCTTATTTGGGCAAATATCAACTACCAGTCTTCTCATTGGTGTCCTTGGGTCAGCCAGCAGCTCAGTTACATCCTAAAAGAGGGAAAGCTGGGGATGCCTCTGTGTAGTCTGTTTTTGTCTTTGCTTGCTTTTCTGTCTTTCTGGATGATTTCCCACGCTCGGTATCAGTGTATTTCTGTCACTGTTCCCTTATGTGCGCTGTCATCTGCCCTGTTTCCTCTGCTCTCCTTCCTCCTTTCTTGCCTCTTTGTCTTTGACTCTGTGCTACCCATCCTTTCAATCACCCTTCCTCAATTGGTCACAGTATAGACCCAAAGTACATTTTTGCCATTTACTGGAAAATGTTCTTATTCCCATTTATAATTTTAGATTCAGTGAGTAGAAGTTTTAGTAGGTGGAACCATATCAGTTATTAGTAACAAACATAATTCTAATAAGGATTTGGGTCGATTTAATAGTACACTTTTTTTTAAAAATCACTAAACTTCTCCTTTAGAAATATATACATACATAGAGCATATACTGAGTCAGGAAAGAATACTCTATTTAATAATAACATAACACATGATAGTTTATCATGTATTTTTTATATCTATTATGCCATGTGAAAAAACAACCCTATGAAGCAAATCCTATATAATAAAAGGCTAATATGCAAATTATCCCCTTGACCAGGGTTTCGACCAGGGGGTGGGGCTGGCTGGCCACCCACCCACAGCTCTTCTTCCTGGCTGGCAGGCCAGCCGGACCCCACCCATGCACAAATTCGTGCACCAGGCCTCTAGTACTTTCATAAGTATCCCCTTTTATTGGCCTTACCTGACCATTTAGAAAACTGGAGTTTATAGGCATTCAGTGCCTTACTTAGAGCTTATGGCAAAGCCAAGGTTGAAACTCAAGTCTTCTACATTCCTTTTCTGTTCTGCTTTCCTGGCTCCCTTTATTTTCCCTCTCCTTTTCTTTTATTATTTTTGTGTGTGTGTGTGTGTGTGTTAATTTTTTTAACTTCAGGTTGTCCTACATCAATGATAACTTTATTTTACTTGTATAACCTTAGTTTTCATACATCATAGAAGAACCTGATTCAATTGACTATTATTCATGAACTAGAGGCTCAACATACAAAATTTGTGCAAGAGTAGGCCTTCCTTCTCCGGACTGCTGGCACCGGCTTCCCTCTGGCACCCAGGACCTGGGCTTCCCTCCAGCCACTGGCAGGCACCCGGGACCCGGGCTTCCCTCACAGCCCTGACTTTACCCAGAAGGTTGTCTGGAAGGACATCTGGTCTAATTAGCATAATATGCTTTTATTATTATAGATTGTACAAAGCATAGCATATTCTTCTGATTATGGCAATAGAAGTAAATCCCTGTAACTGAGACTTCGTTATTCTTGATTTTTTATTTATTTATTTTTTGGCAATAGAAACTTCGGGAGAAACAAAAAGCTGTTCGAGAAAGTCACGGTCCAAATATGAAGCAAGTGAAAATGTGGCGTGATTTTGAACAGTTGATGGAATGTAAGAAACAGTGCTTTCTGAAACAACAAAACCAAACTTCCATCGGTCAGGTAATTCAGGAGGGAGGAGAGGATCGGCTGATACTCTGAATTCATGTGTCGTCACTCGGGGTTTTAGCTGGCATGACTTCTATAAGCATACTCCCATGATGTATTTCTTTTCTTGAAAGTGGTTTGTGCAGTATTTTGCTTTTGGATTAGCTACTCCCCATTAAGCTTTTTTGGAAATAATGTAAAGATACATTTAAGTTTTAAAGTATTTAATATGAAAAAAAGGCTTTTATTTTTGCTTAGTTTATACATTAGGAGAGCCTTCTGAGTTTTATGAGATGTGGGATGAAGTTTACTATATGTAAATGTAAACATATGTTCATTAAGAAACATGTAGTTTTATTTTTAATGTAGTAACTTAATGGCTTAATGTTTTTCTTAATCTTTTTTTAACTTTAGAAGAATCTTTTAGGAACTAATATCTCTTGTTTTGAAGAAACATTTATCTGAAGTTCAGCAATTCCTACAGTTTCACTTCAGTTTCTTTTTCTTCTGTCAAATTCAAGAAAATTTAACGTTTTGAATAACATATTCGTATTACTTAAAGGCAAATAAAATTTGGTGTACATATCATGGCTATTTATTTAAAAATTATATAGTGTCAAAATTTATTTTTTAATTAACAGTTATAGTACGTATTAAATTTAAGGATTATCACTTATTTTCATCAAAAATCTAAAATAGTACTTAGGTCTTGGGAACTGATATTTTAAATTTTAAAAAAAGTCACAGTGTAGGTGTTATGTGCTAAAACGTTAGCACAGGATTCCAAATGAAATTCAAGACTTCAAGGTTTCTAGTCTCTGCTTCATCTGGACAAGGTATTTGAAGATTCCTTTGATTTTTGCTTAAAGAAAGATATTAAATGTATATGCCACCATTTGTTTCATTTCAACTTTCAGGTACATTTCAGAATGTTTTCCCTTTAGTTTTGGACACTCAGATATGAAATTGTTAGATGTCCATCATAGGTTAATTAGTTCTTTTTAGCTATCTTTTTTTTTGGGGGGGGGGGGGGGATTAATGAAGAAAAAAATTGTTTCTACCCCTGCTCAAAATATACAACATTGATTATGGCTTTGCATCTTTGTTCCCAAATGTGTCCTACTTGTAATTTTTGTTTGAAAGCTTCTTTCTGGGTAATCAGAGAAACTTACTAGCATGGAGATATTGATAATTTAGAAGCTATCCCAAGAATCATTTATCAGGTAAGTGTAGAAGAAACTTCTAAGAAGTTTTAAAAAACAAAGCATTTCTATGTTATTAAGTGGTTTGATCTGGCCCTCAGCTTACTTGAGCCTCCTAGTTGGGCAGATATCAACCACCAGCCCCCTCCTTTGTGCCTTTAGCTCATCTGTTAGATCAACCATGTTCTAAGAGAGTCAAGGCTGGGTTTCAGTGTATGGAAACAAACCCTTAATTCACTGGTCAGGTTTTGAACATTGAGGTAGACATGTTTGGTCAGGGTTGGCTGCTGGCTTGTTATTGTTAAATAGTAAGTGATTGATGGTCCTTGAATGAGAGCATGAATCCTTTGCATATATTTGAAGAAAGGCTAGATACCCTTTACAGAAACAACATTTTATTTCCTAAAGGAAAGTCCATTTATAAAATGATTAAGCCTTGTGTTTAGTTTTTTAGCATTCACTATCTTTTGGTGCTCTTCTCTTCATTTTTAAAATTATTAACAACAGATACTCCAGGGAATGCTTTTAATTCTGACTTGGTTATTGCTTACCATTTTATTCCACACCAGAAGAGTATTTGGATTAAACACTAAGGCAGCTTCAAAATTACTTTAACTGAAGCAGAACACCATTATTGCTTCAAGAAAAGCAAATTGGGGGGAAAAACCTAACAGTACAAAGTTATTTATAGTTTTTATGTAACATTGGACATTTAGTAACACAGCTTAATGGGTTTGGTACAGTGACTTTCCCACTCATGTCCAGATTTGATTGTAACATTAAACAGCGTTGACTAACTCTAACAGTTTTGGACAGCTGGCACTAACAGAAGAAGAGCCTATTACATTTTTCCTTCAGGACGGATGCTCTGGCTGGCTGGTTGATGCGAGTGCTTAATAGTTTTGGAAAATAATCTTTCTTCCTCATGATGGCCCAAATAAAGGAGAAAAATGTAGCCTGAAAAACCTGCTTCTATGTTCACACATTTCCTTGTCCTCTGACTTAGTGTTGCCAACCATTGCATGGGACTCACTGTATAAACTGTAAATTCCAAAAGGCCACTGCTTATCTTGCTTTCTGCATCAGTTCAGGAAAGAATCCAATTTTAAAGGTTGTCCTTTAAGAAGAATTTTATAATAGGATAGTATCTTGTCTGTCCTAAATCTATTACCAACCAAATCCAAGATCATGGATTTTCCAAGTCCAGAGAATATACCAGTAAGGTCTTAGCACATTGTCTTAGCACAGTGGAGCCTGGCCAGCATCAGCCTATGAACCAGAAGGTCACAGTTTGATTCCCAGTCAAAGCACATACACAGGGGGTGTCCCTCAGCCAAGCCTGCACTTCTCAAATATGGGACCCTTTGAGGGTGTTTAAATGGGCAGTCGGACATCCCTCTCACAATTCAGGACTGCTGGTTCCCAACCACTCAGCTGTCTCTGCCTGATTGCCCCTAACCACTTCTGCCTGCCAGCCTGATCACCCCCTAAAAACTCCCCTGCCAGCTTGGTTGATGCTAACTGCTCCCTGGCTGGCCCAATTGCCCCTAACTGCCCTCCCCTGCTAGCCTGGTCACCCCTAACTGCCCTCCCCTGCCGACCTGTTCACCCCTAACTTCTCTCCTCTGCTGGCCCGGACACCCCTATCTTTCCTCCCTGCTGTCCTGATCACCCACAACTCCTCCCCCCCACCCCCCACAGGCCTGGTCTCCCCCAACTGCCCTCCTCTTCTGGCCTGGTCACCTCCAACTGCCCACAATTGCCCTCCCCTGCCATTTTGTGGTGGCCATCTTGTGTCCACATAGGGGCAGCCATCTTTGACCACTGGGGGCAGCTATCTTGTGTCTTGTAGTGATGGTCAATTTTCATATTAGGATATATAAAACATATGGAAATTTTTCCATTCTGCATTTCCAAGTATGTTTGTTTCTTACCATTTTAAGCTAACATGATAAAAGGGCAATTTGAGTAAAATAAGAGACTGAATATGTTGTTCAGTCACATGTTACCAAAAATATATAAATTTGCTGATTTCTCTTGAATTGAACTTGAAACTATGCACAAATAGGTAGCTTGCCAAAGCTGCCTTTACAAAAACAGATCAAGTTTGTATTGGAAAATGAGTTCGTATGGAGATGTGTGTTTTATAGAAACCTCAATAAGACAAGCATTTTATTCACCCAAGGTTAGTGACTAATGAGTGTGAATCAAAGACTTGTTTCTACAAAGGGTTCTAGGCGCTTACATCATTCCTCTTACTTGGCAGGAAGGAGTGTTTAGCCTTAGGCAGTGGGTAACTTTTATTCAACTCAGTTATATCAATAGCTTCTCCATTGTAGCAAAGGTGAGACCTAAATTATATATGCAACGAATCCTGTTTTTAAACAGTCTGTGGCAGCTAGGAGAGAAATAAACTTACATTTTTGTTGAATATATAATTGTTTCTCCTTCTTTTCCTTTTAATGAGAGCAGTTTAATGAGAGCTGTATGTGTGTGGCAGCCGGGCGTGAGGGGAGTGTTTTTACCTGAGGAAGATAGAGAGGGATCATTCAAAGTTAACTGTATATTTTCAATATTTGTCTCTTCTGACTTAAGACAATTTTACAAAGAGAAATTGGCTATACCTGTCGTTTAGTCTCATCCCATCCTTGCAAAAGAAATAAAAACTAAAACACAGAATCCAAACAAGACTTGGACACCTATGCTTTCTGCTCCGGTGCTCCCCCTTTTGGCAAATTGGAAGTACTTTCAACAATTTCGCAATTTCCTCTCTCGAATTGCTCAGAGACTTGAGTCACCAAACTTGGTTTACTTCTGTGGAAATTCACTCTTCAGAATACAGGAGGAAATGAAAGATTCCTGTTTTTCAGTGAAAGCATGAGTTCCCACCCAGTTCAGAGTGTAACTGCAGGTTCCTGGCATGGCCACTTGCTAACACTGCACGTGAAACCTGGTAAACAGTCACAGGATCCAGAGCTTGAAAGGAACCCCTGGATGATTCACGTAATCACTTATTAGATTGGACACTTTGACGGACCTCTTTCAACCTCTCCGCGGTGCAGGAATCAGTACTAAAAGGCTCGTAGCAGATCTCTTCCCCACCTCAGTAGTGACTGCATGCGGCTCGCTCCTCATGGGGGACCCTGTTCCGTTGTTAAAGAACCCAGTCTGATTCTTTTCTTGGGCCTGAAAGTGCAGCACACTCACAGAGGAAGAAAAAATTTTCAGAAAGCAGTTAGACAAATCAAGATCGAACAAATTTGACTTTCAGTAGCTCTGTAATCATGATAATCCTAATCACAATCGAGATGACAACAACGTTAGCAGCCAACCCATTGTTGAGCGCTTAGTATGTGCCAAATAGTGTCTTAGTGTTTACCTATAAGGACTAATGTGACTCACAATCAGTCTACGAGGTATGTACTATTATCCTCATTTTATAACGAGTAGACTGAGGCACAGAGAGGCATCCTCAGTATTACACAGCTGACATCTGCAGCAGAGCCAGAATCTAGGACCTATGCTCCCAACTGCTACACTGAACTGCAGTGTGACCCATGTTCATACTGGTTGCATATATGCAGTCAGGTCAACATCTATTACGAACTAGAATATGTGTGAAATTATTTTTAATGCTTCTTGTAATTTTTTTCTTTTAATGTGTCCACTTACTATACCTAAAGAACAAACTTTACTAAGTGATTAAAAATAAACTCAACCAATTAGATGATTGAATCATACTGAAAATGAATGTCAAGTAAATGCATAAGAGAAGTGAATAATAGTGTTAGATACAGAGCAAATGGAAGCTCTGTAGGTCATAACTTAAATCTTTCTCTGTGAAAGTTTTTAAATCATATATACCTCCTGTTGCTGGGCATTTAGATTAGTCCAGTTTTTCCATATGACAATGCTGCAATGAAACATAAAGATTGAAATATAATAAAATATTAAGCAAAGCCACAAAGTTAATTTTATCTGGTCAAAAGTAGAATCCATTGAACAGATTTATAGACATTTCTTGCCTGCCCCTATGAAAATGCCAAGAGTAGCCCTAGCTGGTTTGGCTCAGTGAATAGATCATTGGCCTGGGGACTAAAGGGTCCCTGGTTCAATTCTGGTCAAGGGCACATGCTCGGGTTGTGGGGTTGATCCAGGGGGAGGAGGGGGAGGGGAAGGAGGGTATACAATAAGCAGCCAATCATTGATTCTCTTTCATCATTGATGTTTCTCTCCTCCCTTCTCTCTGAAATCAATAAAAATATTTTTTTAAAGAGAAATAAAATGCCAAGAGTAAACCAAGGAAATTAGTAAGATATTACCAGACTAACTTGAGAATGAAATGGTGAGTTCATTCACCTACATGTAGACACTGTCTTCTGTGTGCCTGACACTGCTAAGGCCCAACTAGAAAATGAACATGCCCTGGTTTTGCCCTGAAAGAGCTCCCTGACTAAAAAACTCCCATATTAATGAGCAAAAAATGTTCAAATTCTTGTTATGTAGAAAAGAACAGAGATCTCAGAGGAAGAAGCAGTAATTCTGACATGGGGTATGAGGGTAGAGGGAAAAGGCAGAACTTAAGCTGGATTCACAAGGATGAAGTGGGATTTTGATGGGCCTAGGAGAGGTGAAGACATCAAGGCAGTTAAGGACCTGGCATGCTCAGGAAGTGATGGGAAGCCTCACGTGGCACAGTGGTTCCCCAGTTGCATGGGGGAGGGAAAGGGGTTCCTATTGTGTGCCAAGCTCTCGTGCCCTGTAATTGAATGTGCTAGACTCTATGAAAAGGTATAGTAAAAGTGTAAGACAGGGTCCCTCTTAACTGGATTAAACAACAGTAAACATATCAAAACATAATAGCCAAGTACTAAGTTTTGTGGTGCCATTGTTACTTCCATCAAGACAGAGACCTAGGGAAAACTAAAGGATCAAAAGGGAGTCTTCATCAAACAGGGAGAAGTGATCGGGACCTGGAAAGATGAGTGGGAAAGCATAAGGACAGACGGAGGGCAGACGGCAGGGATGAAACCAGCATGCATTCACTGGCCCTCTCCTGCATCAAGTAAGAAAAGGCATGGCTTCTCCTTTCAGGGCACTCAGTCCAGTTATCAAGATGAGAAATGTAACCTACAGTTGAAGCAGTTTACAGCACTGGATTACCTAGTAGGCAAACAAATGCACCTCACATTTTCTGAAAACACTTGGTATATTAAAAATCCAAGACGTTTTCATGGAAAAAATCAGAACTCAGACTTCCTTACATTCTTTCGGGGGGTTAGGGGTCTCTAAGCGTTTCATTTCAGCCTTTTGGAATGGGACCAACAGTTAAGAGATAATTCAAAGGAAAACAACAGCAAACCTGGGCAGGCTGGAGGAGGAGACAGTATAAGTTGAAACCCTCCTAGAAGCTTGGGTAGAATTTGGCTCAGGGAGGGAGCAAGAGCGCCTTGGAGAAGCGGAAGGGAATGCCCTGGGGTATGGGCCACAGTCTGGAGGAGTTAAGGGAGTTGAAGCTGGGAAAGGAGGGACATTCAAATGCTGAAGGTTTTTAGTTGGTGCAATTATGAATCACTGTCTGTTGGTATCCCATAATCACAGTTGTGCTTAAGATTCCTGCTTCCCTTTGGACCCTTGACAAAATGAGGGATTCACTC